AAACAATGCAATTTAAAACCTTTCATTTCTTACAAATTTTAATATATTGTTGCGAGCGTACGGGTTTGTTATGAAATGAATGCACAAGTCTGATGAAAAATGAACAAAAATTTATTATTATCACAACAAAAATGCTTAAATTTTCTCAAATTATCATGCAGTATTACAATATCTCACAGTAGTTATCTTTTAACTACTCAAATGTACAATAGAACGTAATTCAAAACAGCTAAAGAACGCTAATCCGCGAATTCGCTATAATCAACAACAGCAGTTTTCTAAACAACAACAAACTAAGCAACTACTACGAACTGAGATGTTTTCCTCCTTTTATAAGATTTTAAAATCACGCGCTAGAATTTTCGAGTACTTTCTCGAAATCAAAAAGAGAGATTTATTTATTTAATGCACGCGCTCTTGTATTTTCAATTTTCCGGCTTAGCTTTCTTTTAATATTCGTCACGCGCTGCACTGCGCGAGAAATAAAACCATTTAATTTATAATTGAACTAACATTAGCTTTTTAAATACCAAATTCGTAACACTGCCCCCTTCCCAAGGACTGCACGTCCCGGGCAGTACAATCCCTGGACAGGAAGCAAAACTTACAACTGTGGCATAAATGCATTAATAAGCATTACATTACAAAAATAAACAACATGAACAATAAATGCAATAAATAAAACAAATCAAATACTAAATACACATTTAGAAACAAAAAGGACCATGGTCTTACACTATTTACAATTATTTACATTACGTACTATGGCCATAGTAATGAGCTAACCTGTCGTAATGAACGACCTTAGGTTTAGAGTTCGAAGACTTACGGATCCGAACCACGACGTCATTCAGCCTGTTTAGGACCGTGTACGGACCATCCCAAGGTGACTGTAATTTCGGACACAGTCCTTTCCGCCGAGTCGGATTCCACAACACCTTGTCTCCTTCATGGAACTGATGATCAGTAGCTCTTATGTCGTATCGGGTCTTCATCTTCTCTGTCGCCAAGTTGACTCACTCTCGTGCAAAGTTGTGCATCACTTCAAACCGGGCCTGGAGATCTTGAATATATTCCTCAGACGATGAAGGAGCATCCGGAGGGAGGCCAAGCAATAGATCAATCACAAGGCAGACGAAGGTCACGACCGAAAACCATCTGTGATGGAGAATAGCCGGTAGTCTCGTGGACAGCACTGCCAGTAAAAAGTGTGGTAATTTCTTGTCCAAGTCCTGTTGGTTTCTGGAAACCACTAATGAGAGGTTATTAAGGATGGTTCGATTGAACCTCTCTACCATGCCGTCCGAATGGGGATGCAATGGCGTCGTTTGAGTTTTGTCAATGCCGAGTAGTTTGCATAGTTCTTTGATTACTGCCGAGGCAAAATTCCTTCCCTGATCGGAATGTAACTGAAGAGGCACTCCGAACCTGGAAATCCAGTGCTGTATCATTACCTCAGCTACTGTGACAGCCTCTTGATCAGGAATAGGATAAGCTTCAGGCCACTTGGTGAAGTAATCAATGACAACGAGTATGTATTTGTTGCCATCAGCAGTTCGTGGCAGAGGTCCCAGGATGTCAAAGGCGATACGTTCAAAAGGCGCCCCTACGTTGTAACGTAGCAGCTTGCCTCGGCTGCGTCTCCTCGGTCCTTTCCGACCTGCACAGGCATCGCAAGATCGGCACCACTTTTGCACGTCATCCTTTGCATTATTCCAGTAAAAGCGCTCACGAACTCTCTGCAAGGTCTTCATTATTCCAAAGTGACCTCCTGTAGGGCTGTTATGTAGTTCTTTAAGGACATCAGGAATCCGGGATCTTGGAAGTATCAGTTGCCATCGGAATGTCTTCCCATCATCCGATTCGAATTTTCGGTATAAGACGCCGTTTCGAATGTGAAGTGAATCCCAGAGTGCCCAGTATTGTTTTGGTGTAGGACTATACATAGAAATGTCCTGCCAGGTAGGTTTTCTGTTTGATGACTCCATTAAATCAATTATGGGTTTAATGTCACAGTCTTCCTGCTAGTCTTTTCTGACTTCATCATCACTCCACGGCTCTCTGTCAGCCGATGTTGATGTTGTAATTTGTCGTGCCACCGGACTCAGCAGCTCGTATTTCGCTTCCACCCTGGAACAATATCGGCAGCTTTCTTGGCAAGGTCTTCTAGACAGGGGCGTCGGCGTTTCCGTGTGATGATCCCTTACGATGACGGATAGTGATGTCATATTCTTGGAGTCTCTGTATCCACCTGGCTATTTGACCCTCAGGATTCTTGAAATTTAAAAGCCAGGCCAATGAGGCATGGTCCGTGCGGAGGAGGAATTTTCTCTGCCGTATAGATAATGATGGAAATGTTCTACAGCTTTGACTATGGCGAGCAACTCTTTCCTGGTGACACAGTAATTCCTCTCCGGTTTAGACAGGCACTTGCTCCAGTACTCCATAGCCACTACACGTTCTTGGCCGTCTATTTCTTGGGACAAAACAGCACCGACACTTTCATTGCTCGCGTCTGTGTCGAGAATAAATGGTCTGTCAAGCTGAAGATACGTCAGGATCGGAGCAGATGTTAAAGCCTCCTTTAAGTTGTTAAATGCATCCTCGCATTCTTTTGTCCACAAGAATTTTGCTTGCTCTCTGTCAGCTTGTGAAGAGGTCTTGCGATGGAAGAAAAGTCCTTCACGAATCTCCTATAGTAGGTGCAAAGCCCTAGGAAGCTTCTCAGCTGATGGACATTTTCGGGACGTTTCCAGGATTTAACGGCTGACACCTTTTCAGGATCCGTGCGCACACCTTCTGCAGAGATGACATGTCCCAGGTAAGTCACTTCCTTTCGGAAAAATTTGCATTTAGCGGGACTCAGCTTCAGATTGGCTTCTTTCAGTTTCTGAAGCACCTTCCTAAGATTTTCTAAATGTTCTTCAAAACTCTTTCCAACGATGATGTCATCCAGGTATATCAGACAGGCTTCGTAGGAAAGGCCTTTCAAAACAGTCTCCATAAGACGTTCGAATGTTGCCGGCGCATTACACTGTCCAAACGGCATCACCTTGAATTGCCAAAGCCCTTGTCCCGTAGTAAATGCCGTCTTTTCTCGGTCTTCAGGCTGTATTTCTACCTGCCAATACCCACTCTTTAAATCAAGTGTTGAGAACCACTTTGCTTCCAGAAAGGGTGTCTAGAATGTCGTCAATTCTAGGAAGAGGGTAACTGTCTTTCTTCGTAACCTCATTCAACCGGCGATAGTCGATGCAAAATCTTGTTGAGCCATCTTTCTTTCTGACTAGGATGATTGGAGATGCCCATGGACGATGAGAGACTGAAGGCTCGATGACATCGCTTTCTTCCATATCTTTTAACAGTGTTCGCACCTCTTCCTGTTTAGCAAACGGTAGATGTCTTGGATGTTGCTTGATTGGGGGATGATCGCCGGTATCTATTCTGTGTCGTGTCAAACTAGTTCGACCCACGTCAGAAGACGAGCGGGAGAAAACAACTTGAAGATCTTTAATGAAGCGATCGGCAGCATTCCTCTCTTTATCGACTTCTCCTTTATCCTCTATTCCTCTCTTTATCTTTCATAGTTTCAGAATGGAACGAGCAGGCATTGATAAAAATTTGAAACCTTCAGAATTGTTTCCTGCCGTCGCTATGCACTTCTTTAGGCTGTCAACTTCTTTGGCGACGGCAGCAGAAACCCTATCATCAATTTGTTGTTCGACGGCAGAAACTCTCTCTTCTATATGTTCTTTTACAGAAGAAATTCTTTCTTCTACTTGTTCTTTTACCGAAGAAACTCTTTCTTCTATTTGTCCAACTTTAGTTTCAACCGCGTCTATTCTGCCTTCCATAGCCTCAAATTTATTTTCTATTACGCAGGTAATTTCTCTTTTCATTTCATCCTGACCTGCTTTCATCTCCTCTTTAAGGGATTTCATCTCTTCCTTAACGGATTCCTGGCCCAATTCCATTTCTTCCTTAACGGATTCTTGGCCCAATTTCATTTCTTCCTTAAATGCAGCAAATGCTGACATCAGCTGTCTTAACTGCTCTTCCATCGCTCTTGTGATTGGCATTCAAACCCCACTTCTGACACCAAAAATTGTTGCATGCGTACGGGTTCGTTATGAAATGAATGCACAAGTCCGATGAAAAATGAACAAAAATTTATTATTATCACAACAAAAATGCTTAAATTTTCTCAAATTATCATGCAGTATTACAATATCTCACAGTAGTTATCTTTTAACTACTCAAATGTACAATAGAACGTAATTCAAAACAGCTAAAGAACGCGAATTCGCTATAATCAACAACAGCAGTTTTCTAAACAACAACAAACTAAGCAACTACTACGAACTGAGATGTTTTCCTCCTTTTATAAGATTTTAAAATCACGCGCTAGAATTTTCTAGTACGTTCTCAAAATAAAAGAGATATTTATTTATTTAATGCACACGCTCTTGTATTTTCAATTTTTCGGCTTAGCTTTCTTTTAATATTCGACACGCGCTGCACTGCGCGAGAAATAAAATCATTTAATTTATAAATGAACTAACATTAGCTTTTTAAATACCAAATTCGTAACAATATACAATCTTTTCAAATTCTTTTATTAGTTTACCTATTTTGCCTTAACTCTGCCACACAAGGCAAAAATGATTTTCTGTTGGCAGAAAACCTCTCCTGATTATAATAAAAGTGGTGAAATGGAATACTGATGAAAATACACTCAGCAATTTTCTATGAATGTTTTGCTGTGTTTTATCATTCTTAAATGTTTGTATAATAAATTAGATACACATCAGCAGATTTCTCAACATTTATTCTTAGACTAAAACACTTTCTCTTATCACAACAAAATTTCGGTAAATTTAACAACACTGTTAAGAAAAAAATGAAACTTGCCGAGATTTTATATTGAATTAGCGTTTTTTTATAGTATTTAGAATATATAGTTTTTATAGTATAGTATTAAAATCAAAATAAACGGAAAATTTAGTACATTAAAATTTTTATTTTGACATATCTCCTACATCAAAACATGTGCAAAGAAGAGACATATTTGCTTAAAAATACATTATACTACCATCAATGCCCGATATAAATGCAACAGGGATAGAACTGAAATACACAGTAAAAATGTGCCATACTTTATCACAGTTTTATTCGAATTTCAATACAGGTTCTTTCCTCCAAATATCTGACATGAGTTTGTTACGCAAAGTAGATTCATGCACAGTTGCTATATGCGTTACACACACACATGAATTTATTATATTATGTAACACATGCAAAGGTAATTACAACATGCACAATTAGATGTTAACTAGTTCAGTTGTTTTTTTTTTTTTTTTTTTTTAAATATATTTTACAGTTAGAATTCCCCCCCCCCATTTATTCATATTCAAATGCTAAAATGTACTCTTAGAAAAGGGGGGATTGTCTGAGAAATCAGCCATTCATTTTGTCAATAATGCAGATCCATGTAATCATGGTTTAAGTACCTAAAAAAAAAAAAAAAAAAAAAAAGGCACAGTTGGTAAACTTGAAATCGGCTTCAAGTTTACCAATTTTCACATATTGTAAATCAATAAATGACTTTCTGAAGAAAACAAGTTCTATCAGAATCTGACAAATAATGAAATCAAAATTTTAAGAAAAGTATGCATGCAAATGTTATAATAAAAATTGGAAATTAGCATATCAACAAAACATTCAATAGACCCAAATTAGAAATATTCCATACATACAGATCTGTTCAGAATACATGACAGAAGCCATTCTAATAATGGCAAATGATTTCTGGCACATTTTAACGTGTCACAAAGTTCCTTGTACTGTCATTTCGAATAGCTAGGAAACATTACATAATACTGAGGATAATTATACAGCACTAATATACCCACAAGTAAAAACAGTAATGTTCACAGCACTGTTTATTGAAAAACTACTATAGTTAAATGTTTAATCAATGTTCCAATAGCAGTTTATTTTTACAAAGTATTTCATTATAATTACTTTAAATTTTAAAACTGTAGAAGCAAAGTTTACATATTTTATGAGAGACACTTCCAGACACAAAAGTTGTTTGTGGCTATATTTAACATATTTCTTATGTAAGAACAATATAAAAGTTACACCTTCAGGTTTCAGCCAGACATAAATAATAGTATATTTATAAACAACCCTGATGTAAAACACAAATCCATTTTATTACACACCTTGGTATCAAAACACGAAAAAATTTTTATTTTAAAATGATCAGCTGATTCTGAAATTACATTTAGAACTTTTCTAAAATGCAAAAAGTAGCATTCAAAGGTTTGATCAGACTTTATTTTTGAAAATGCGTTTAAATAACCTAGATTAAAATTGTGCACAGCTTTGCATTTAGCAGATAAATCTGCTATGAAAAAATACTAAAATGTCCTGCATCATAACAAACCAAAAAAAGCTTAAAAGATTTCAATTGATTTTAAAAATAATAATCCCAATTTTTATCAAAACCCCAATAGTTTCATTCAAAGGGGAAGGCAGGCCTCCCTTCTCGAATTCTAAGCTATAATTCAGTTTTTAAACAGCAGGCAGTTATTTAAAGGAATATTTAAACCATCAAATATTTATATTAGAAAATGTACTATGATACACAAACACTTTCTTTTCAGATTTTGGTGGCTGAACGAACACTAATTATTTCTTAAAATGTTAAGCAAAAACCATTCCACAAAAGGTAAAAATAAGTTCTTTCTTAGAGAAAATGTTCCAGTGACTTGACTTTCGATGCAAAAAATTCAAAGACGTTAAAATTCAAATTACTTTTAAACCATAAATTATAATTTGTAACCTTTTGCAACATATTACTGATATTTTATGAGAATATTTTAATTAAACTTATTACATGAAATATAAGCAGATACATTATGTAATAAAAACAGACACTACAGAAGTTCAAATGCTTTAAATAATCTATATTTTTCAGCATATCAAATTCAGAATACAAAATTTGCACTTCCACACAAGGAAATTTAACTTTTGTTTTAAAAAATTTAAAGAGTGCATAAACTTTGCTCACCCAAGAAAGAATTATGAAAATCAGAAGTGTGGCTTACACACATGAATGATTAGAAATAGCACATACAAACATGTGCCAACACAGCAGCACATATTTAACGACTGAGCATAAAACCTATTCTGGTTGGCTGAATGCTACATAGAATTGCAAAAGACTAGTTGTGATTGCAGGTCTTGGTGACATGCTGTGGGATATTAGTACCTGCAGTAGTGATACTGATAATGCAGGCATCTACTTCAAAGGTACCAAGATAGTGACAATAAATAAGAGTAACTAAACACAGAAATAAATTCCTTCTCACTGATAAAAATTTTTGACTTAGTATGTGGTATGTACCGTTTCCATTTTAGCAGCTTTCATGTCTCTAAATGAAAAAGATATTGTAAATAATAGACAGGCTTATTCATAGAATTTTTATTTTTATTTATTTTTCAATTAAGGGTAAAAACTAAAAGGTGTGGCTTTATAAACACAAAAATGCTGGAAGTAATAAGAAGACAAGCAATTAGTTTTAAATGATGTGAAGTTTTACTGGTGAAATGTTTTGCACAGTTCTTTCTTCCACGTGGCTAAACACAGTATATAAGATGACTAACTGCATTAATAATTCACAGAGAGTACTTCAAGGCAGTCATAATACTTAAAATGAAAGTACTGTTTATGACAAAATTACATTGAACTTCTGACTGACATTATATTACACTTCTAGCTGACTTCTATTCTTCAAATACTTTAAGATAGTTGCTATTAACACTTTTCAGGGATTTTTATAAAAGGCCAGCTGGAGTCATTTTATACTGCATATGTTATGCATTTGAACTTACAAGTAAATTGTTATGCTCAAATACATCTGTGGTGCCCAGAGCTTCACTGTGAAGCAAATAGTTATTGTGCAGCAAAGCACAAAAAAAAAAAAAAAAAAAAAACAGATGGACGGCCATTCAGCTTGCAACAAATTGCTACACATTCAATGAAATGGATTAATACTGATTTCTGCAATAATCACACTGGAGTTTTGTTAAATATGTATATAGCTTTAAAAACATGTATTTTATACAAAATTAAGAATTATTAAAACCAACTTGAGAAACAGTCAGTTATCACCAAACAGTTTGCATTCAAAGTGAAAATGCTACATGCAGTATCCAGTTCATTCTTTTTTTTTTTTTTTTTTGTTCACTGTCATTACATATAAAAAATTCTGAAGTAAACTGTAAATTAAAAATATATAAAAACTAAAAGTCATTTGAAGGCGACAAAATTATTTTAAAAAACGTGTAACCTAATATTTTGGAATTTTGAAATAAAACAATAATCTGCAACCAAAATCTTATGCTGATAAGGATTTATTTTTTAATTAATGGTTAATATTTTTTATGTTTTAAAACCAGATACTTATTTTCACAATTTGAAATGAACAAATCATAATTTTATTTATTTTTTTTGGTATGCTTCTCTTACAAAATACATGGTGAAGGTTTTATTTGTATCCTCAATATATTCCCACATTTCAAATTTGTCAGCACCATCATAATATAAAGGATAAACATGCTTGTCAGATCATCATAACAAAAGGATATCTCAAGAGTCAACCAGTAGAAAAAGTTAACCTGTTTCTAATAATTTGATACTATAAATCCAAATTTTTAGGTTTCTTTTCACAAGAATTTAATTTCCTAAAATTATTATACTGAAAATTAATGTTTAATTCCTTATAAATGCAAATAAATAATTAGTACAATAAGAGTATAAGAGGGCACTACTAAGTGTAAGAGGACAAAAACTTAGCAATTGCAAGATAAAAAGAAGTGACATAAATGATAGCTTATTTCATTTAATGAATTTACTATGAAATTATTTTTGCCCTATGATATACTTTTAAAAAAATTACTTAAAAAATTAAGTGTATAAGTAACTTTGCTCCATTACTCTTATAATAAGTTTACTGTATATAAAGAGATAATAAATATTATAGTATATTAATCATTATTTTTAGATTTGCAGCCAAAATCATTTAAGAAAATAATCTTGATTGATAATGCTACATAAAAAATCTTAAAAATAAATAAAATTAACTTTTATGCAGCTTTAAATACAGGTTTTTATGATATCAGAAAATATACAAGTTTTTTACATCCCGTATTATTTGATAAACTAGGCCAGATCTATCATTTAAAAAATCACTTGAAACAACTATTCAAATGCATAGTAATACAATAAATAGCTTTTCAATTAGACAGAAAGCGGGGAGGGATGGGAATTGAAAACACTGCTACTCTCACCTCTATTAATTTAAAATATAGCCAAAAAAATTCAAACTAATTTTGAAAAATTTCTTTTTATCAACAATACTAGTAAAGTCTGAACTGTTGAAGTTTTCAGAAACAATTCTGACTGCATAATTAAGTAATAACAAAAATTATTTTATATATGAAACGGAAAATGTTATAGTTTATATAATTAGTTTTCATTGTTTAATTGCTTAGTAATAAAATAATCAAATTTTGCATATTTTTTAAGGATTAATACATCAGTATAATAAATTTACTGCATATAACCGATATCCATTTAATCACAAACATTCTTAATGATTTATAAACAATCAAGATAACAACAGATAAACATTTCTAACTATAATTTAACTTATCACATAACTATCAAAACTAATATGCAAGATAACTAAAATTATCTCTCAAAAACATAATTACATTCACAAGGAAATAATTACATCTTTACTTCAAAGCATTACAAAATTCAGAACAAATATGAATGGTAATGAAAACAAGATGTATTGAACACATTTAACACAATTATTAAAAAATATTAGAAATTTTATTGCAGAATATTAAATCATCATAAGAAAACAGACAAATGACTGTTACTTTTTTTTCTTCTGCCTAAATAAAAGACAATAACAATTTTAATAGCTGATTAAAAGGTGCTGTTAAAATTGGCATAAAAGCCTGTTGACCTTCCCGAAGTAAACAGCACAAGTAAGCCATTATGAATGACATGGTGAAACTTGGAACTGCATTCTTCACACAAAATGGATTCTACTGTTTGAAGCATCAAAAAACTTCAATCATCGACGATCTGTCTTTTCCAACGCCAATCCATTTAACTGAAAAATAAAATTAACTAGTAATACTAAAACAAGAATACAGAAAGTAAAAAACACACATTTAGGGTTCCCACTGAAACTCCACTTTTAATTTTCCTGACTAAACGTAATGAACTAGCTATGAAATAGTTTAGATTGAATATAGATAGCATTTTTGAATAGTTTAGATCACTCATTTAAACTATTCAAGAAGATAGAATATTCTGAGGAAGAGGGAATGTTTGTTCTCTGATAAATAAGTTATTCATAATAAACATGTTAATAAAAATTTCTACTCTTTTAATATTTCAAATTAAAACTGAAGAGTTTGCAATTACACTGGGGGGGAGTACAGTCAAAAGTCTTTAATCCGGACTCATCGGGACTTCGGCGATTCCGGATTATATATCATCAGTTTAAATTGGTAAGATGGCATGCAGAAATTATACAATTAAAAATATGAAAACGTAATTTCTGAAATAAAGAGCAATTTTGATCTAAAAGGTATCAAAATTTACCAAAAAAACCTTAATATTTATTTGTTTACTTAATTTAAAAATTATATAAATGTTGTTAATTTAAAAATGATTAAACATTTCTTTCAACGCGCACATGCGTAAAGCATACATTACGCATAGTCGAAATTAGAAAATTGCAACCAGAAAGCTATTTTATGCGTATTCGTGATACTTATAATGACGAGGAAATTGATTTAAATTATATCGGAGTACATCAAGATGAAACACTACATTTAGTAAGGAATTACAGGTCAAATAAAATAAAAACATCTGCCCTGAAGATGAGGATAGTGCTGACAGATCAATTTCCAGTTCATTGCGCGCCACGACGTTAATTGGCAACAATGAATACAGACATACCTATCTCTTTTTCTCTTAGATATTGTTACGAAATGTTCAAGCGTGGTGTGGTAAGATGGCTTCCCCACAAAGCAGTTTTATGGTTGCCATAAAATGGCAAGGGAGGGCAGGGTTGCCACCTTTGATGAGAAATCACCCATTTGGTGACAAAATTGGCAATATACCATGAACGGATGGAGAACCTTCTGGAACGAATTCTTATCGGTTTAGCCCAGAATGTTCTCGAACACAAGCCCTGCTGGTTTGCAGTCAGTGCGTGTGCCTCATCTAGCGAGCTAATAGTCATTGAGTGAGTGTCTCGAAGTCTAGCACCGATGTGTTCGTCGAGTGCATCGAGAGTCTTTTAGTGCATCTCAAATTAATTAGTGCATCATCGAGTTTTGTCTTAGACTGTGCTGAGTCGAGAGCTATACTCTTGTGTATCGTATGGAGAGTCTCCAGAGTACGTGGAGTTCCGAGAACGACCAAGCAGAGTTGGGAGCTGTACTCGGGTGCTTTGCAGTGAAGCTGTCTCCACTGTTATTGCCTGACAGAGTGAAGGTTGTGTCGCTGATTGTTCCAACATGTTTATAGTAGATCTTCGATGACTGTAAAAAGTGTTATTGGAGCTGTCCTGATTAATATTGACTAAATAAAGTGTGCTTCGATACTTCATCAAGTGGCGTCGTTATTCACTCCAAATCCACGAACCCTGTACGAACGTGAACGAAGAAAATAATGCAACAACTGGTGTCAGAAAAATCGCAACAACATTTAGCAATGGAAATGAAATTTAAAACAAATACAGTGGACACTTGTTAATTCAAACTCAAAGGTTCTCAGAAAAAGTTTGAATTATCCAATGTTAAGAGAAAAATATGACTTTAAAAGTGTATTACTGAAGAAGAATCTCCAAGTATGTATAATACCAGAAAATATACTACACTATCTAAAATTAAACATATTAAAAAGCAATAAAGACTTACCTTACCCTAGAATGCTAACCTGCATAAATTTTACTCGCACAACAATGAAATGCACACATAACTTCTAAACCTTGCACACTAGCTCCAATATCACTCAGATATACTACCTACTTTCTTTTGTATTTAAGATGCAGTTGTAACTGATTCTGAGATATTTTCTGTCTTTCAGGAAATACCCTTTGCTAAATATAAAGGGTGAGTATTCTAGGGTTAATCACAAAATGAAGCATAAAGTAAATTTTAATTAAAAATATGAATTATACTTTTGGGAAAAACTAAAATGGATGTTTAGTTTTGTTTATTATGTCTACAGTATTTCTTAGCCAGCTTCTTGATTTGAAATAAGAATTTCAGTTTATTTTCAGAGGAAGGTTCAATCCAAATAAATGCTTTCAGAGGTTTTATAGAGTCTATTATGGCTTAATCATTAGGATGCTTAACAGTCTACCATCATCTGTAATAGATTCATTTCATGCCTTATTGCAGACTAATTCATCTGTAATAATTTTTTAAGACCTTTTTGGGACTCATAAATTTCTTCTCTCTATTTTCCCCATGAATCTAAAACTGATTTCCTTGTTTTTCAAATGAATTGACAATTTTTTTTTTTTTTTTAAATTCCACAGTCAGCTGTTAACTTTATTTTACATTCACTATTCCCTGCTTTAAAATTTCTACCTTCGTCTCCACAAAGTTAACAGTTGTGTACTTACCAAGTGTAGACATTCTGAATTTTTACACGTTTACATCATGTAATCAGCAAGAAAAACTAGAGCACATTAACTTCTCTGCCGTGCAGAAATAATTGAAGCAGCTGTCTAGAACCAGTAGTAAAGACTGGTTTTTCCAAAATTCTAAGAAAATTGATAACAAATAAACAAATGATTCACTCCCTACCCAGACTCATTCATAAAGGGCTCTGAATTAATCTAAGCAAACAGGTTAGACCAGGCAGTTTTTTACTGTTAAACACTGATAAGAGATGGACACTAACGTTTTATCAGAAATGCAATAGGAATGCAGGCATGTGTCTTGTTTTGTATTAGCTGAGAAATACTTGGCGATAGAGGAGAATCTTGTCTAATAGCGCATGCGCCACCAGAGTTGGCGCTGAAATATATTCTGCGAGAATATTTTTGTTGTACATTCGAAGTTGCGATTCATATGTTATGCTGCAAGAAAAAAACCTACCACCAGAGTGTCACTATGGAAAATGAATGTATTGAAAGTTAGAATGTGTTATTTCTATAATATGTGTGGTGTTATTTTATTGTGATATATAACTATCGAAGGGAAATAGAATAAGTCAATTCATGCCTCTTTAAACAGAAAAGAAATACAGATGATTTTGACACACAAAATAATAAATACACTATGCAGTTTCTCTGCTAAAAAGGAAAAAGAATTTTTTTTTGGGGGGGGGGGGCAAATTTTTAGTTCAAGTTAATGAGATTTTATAATTATTAATTTATATTATTATTTTCAATTTAAAGAGATATAAGTTAATGAGATATTTTTAATATTAATTCTAATACAAGTTTTTGAAGGCCTTTGGATTAGTTCAAATTAATGAGTGTCCATTGCATATGTCGATCATTCTGCATCTAATACATAGCTGCCAACCTTGAGAAATTAAAAAATAGGAGAAATCAGGAGGTTTTTCACATTACATGGTCATACCATTTCAAGGGAAATCCAGACTGAGTTCACTTTATAATGGCTGATTTAGGTTATTGAAACATTTGTAATTTAATTCTGATGTAAATTATATTAGCATTTAAATGGATATTTTAAATTTCATGTTATTAAACTAACTTAATTTTTTAAAATTTGTTACAGTTTTACGCTGAGAAAAATAAATCAATAATTAATGTACATAGTTTCTGTGTGGATAAAACATATATTGTAATGTACCATATATTGAAGTAAAATTAAATACAAATGTTATCTGATTAAACATTGCTTGAATCTTCATATAAAAATCTACAACTATCTATAGTAGAATAAAACCAACCCAGATCAAATGAACCTTAATAAGACTAAGATCAATAAAATATAATTAGAAAAGTATAATTTGGTTGAAATAAAATTTAATTAGAAAAATTATTCTGAAAATCAGAGGTTGGGGGAATAGAATGTGCTTAATTGAAGACTCATTTATTGTTTAAAAGCACTTCCCTCATTAAAGGCTAAAAATTAAAAACCTGGAGATTCGGTAATCTACCGTGAAAGCGGGAGATGTGATGAGAAACCAGGAGAGATGGCAGCTATGATCTAATATTGGCTGTTTTGAATTCAAAGACTTGATTGACATTAAGATAATATGGATTTTTTTTATACTAATGAAAACAAATTTGAGATTCTGCTCCAACAGACATAAATATTAGAATTATTTAGATTATAACAAAACACTCAAGTGCTATTTGCCTAAAAGGAGGGAAGCCTTTATGAAGGATTCCCTAAGGAAAATTGCCTAATATTTATATAACACATGGGAGAAATACCACAAAATCTAATTTTGAAAGGATTTAAACCTGAGCCAAGCTATAATCTTTCAGCTGTTTTACTGCTTGGTCATTGGTGAGCAGTCTCTGACATAAAATGACAATCATTTGCTAATTTTTAAATAAATTTACAAAGAAATTCTTCTCTGTCATGGAAACTTTGGTTTTAAAGCTTTTTGGTGCCTGCTAGTAATCTGATTAACCAGCAAAAAATTCAAAAGAAATTATTATCTAAAGGGTGAGTAGTAAACTCCACATTCCCCAACCAAATTACTTAATTAAAAAATTATAGCCATTAAAAATTAATGTCAACACAGACATCACATCCACTTTTTTACCTCCTCAAGCTATAATGATATGCTGAAATGAATCTCAAATGTGAATACAATTCTGAAACGTCAAAAAGGGATACTGACAAACAAAAGCTTATTTACTAAGAAAAAATAAAAGTGTTCATAGTTAAATAAGCAAATTATAATATAAAAAAAATTTATGAGTCAAATTCTAATGCAAATTATAAAAGTACTTAAACTTCAGACCAATGATTCATACACTAATATAGCATCTACATGAATATATATTAGAAAGACAAATTCTATGCAGATAATTTTTCCCCTTTTGTAACCCACCCTCTTCTTTATTAAAATATCAACACATGCACCATCTCCACAAAAGTCTTTACCTGGCCCTTGTTTTTGCAACCTTTAATCGTAGGCACATACTACGAGTTATAAAAATATTTTTAAAATGTAAAAATTCATATTTTCATGTTTTTGTATTAAAAAAATTATAAAGTAAGAAACCTAACTTTTTACATGTTTTTTGCAGTTTCTAGGGGGAGGACTCATGCAGAACAAAAATTGGCCAAGATATTTAATAGTAAAATTGAGTATCATATATGGGAATATGAGAAACCATAAACAGATTGAAAAGGGAAATGTTCACACTCGTACATAACTAAAAATAACATATTATTCAGGAAAAGTTCCCTCATGTTAAGAGATTACATGATGTAGATTACTGAGAAAAATATTGATCAATATATTTTTCTTTCAAAACTGAGATTTTATTCGCAGAATCTTACAGAATTCTGTGTTCCAGAAAACACTGGCAGGCTTCAGTATGCACACATACCCAACTCTTAATATATGATTTAATTAAAAATTAAAATATATATACTGTAATAAAATTATTGTATGATTACCAGATTATGATTCTAAAATAAAATATTAATAATGCATATTTATAAATTATTTGTGTGAAAACATAAATGAACTTAGTAAAAACGTTTTAAAAGTTTAATAAATTGTGTGAAAATTCATTCAGCATATTAAGTATAAAAACCCCATTAATTAAGGACACTGCTAAATTAAAAAACAGTATCATTAAAAAGTAATTAAGAAAGCAAAAATCAACAATTTATTCTACTTACTAATTGACATTTCAATGCAAACTGAATACAATGTCAGAAATTGCTGATTTTGATATTAAGCATCTCAGTCAATTCTTATTGTAAGATTTTGTACTTTTTCATAATGAGTAAAAATTTTACTAAATATAAATATCAGGAATGAAGGAATGTATAAAAAATTAGATTTCATAATGTTTACATCATTTTCTTCAAACTTAAAAATGCCAAAACATGAATCATTGCATCATTTAATATATTTTTGTAACTGGAAGTATACTATGTCTACAACCAATGGCTGTGAAAATAAAGGATGGGTAAGGATTTTTGTGGACATGGTGTACATTCTTGATTTTGTCTAATCCTCGCTGATAAAAAATATCAAAGCTTTCTCAGGATATTTCTGCCAGCTTCTGGTGGATCCAGTTTTGGGTTGGATATATACTGGAAGAAATGAAGTCAAGATACAAAGTGAAAAAAGGTCATTTTTGAATTATATTCAAAATTATAATTAATTATTCATGGCATTTTGAGAAACTTTAGGTTTTCAAAGGTCAAATCATAGCTGCCGACCTTGTAATATGAAAAACCAGAAGTTTTGGAGAGGTTTTCCCATTGCAAGGTGGCACCATTTTAAATTATCTCAAATTTGACTTAAACTCACTTTTTAATCAGACTCAGTTTGTTGAACTATTTAGAATATGATTCTGATCATATTAATATTTAATTACATATTCTAAATTTAATGCTCTTTTTCTAATTTCATTTTATACATATGTTACATCGTTATACTGAGAAAATTCCGAGTGGGCAAGGAAAGCTTAATTTATGAGGTCTTTCAGAAACAATAAAAATAAAATTAATAAATAATGGACATTGCATTGTGTGGATAAATTTAGTACCGTACTATATGATTAATCCTCTTAGCGGCCAGGGTTTTTGCTAAGGAAACACAAATTTCCCAAAACTACTATGAGAACAAATTATTTTTTTATTTTAACGTAAAAACTCTGCTGGTATTTCATACCTGGATTGGTGTACTTTTGATATACTGCCTTAATTTCTTTGACATTTTAATATGCACGCATATATACATTTTTACAGATATCACAAAAAATATAGGCTGTATTCGCTTAGAGGGTTAAAACAAAATTAAATACAAATTGTTATGAATTAAACATTTGGTTCAATGTTTATACAAACGATGGTGGATTTCCCAGACATAAAACCCTGAAAGGTTATACACACCAAACACATTGTGAATAAAAATATAAATGTCTACAGTAGATTAATAAAGTTCAGATCAAACAAAATTTAATAAGAAAAATTGCGCTGAAGATCACTAAAGATAGGAGAAATTTGTACAATTTAAGCTTCATTAATTCAAGAAAACTGAAACTGTGCAAATTTTATTAGCATAGCTTAATTTTATTGCTGAAAAACACTTTCATTAGTAAAGGGCAAAAATTAAAAACTGGGAAATTCGTTCACTTACTGGGAAACTGGAAGATGTGCCCAAAAAGCGGGAGTCTTGGGGTAAAAACAGGAGAGTTGACAGCTATGGTCAAACCCTTAGCACTTCGAGGATTAGCCTTTCAAATAGAACTTGTTCCATTTTCACATTTTAAAATGGATTTATATATTTTTTGATAAAGTCGCTAGAAAGTTTTTTTGTTTCGGGAGAATGCCAATCTTGTTTACTGGATTGCTGGAAAGAGCATTTATATGTCCTAATACTTGAACTGAAAGCTTAAAACATTAAACAATTTGCTGCAGTTGGAAATTTTTGTGATTCAGCATTAGAGAACATTATGATTTATTTACACTATGTTTGCATGTTTAACGTTTTACTGTATTTTGTGTACCCATTTTTCTGAATACACACATTTATTATCTTCTTTCTTTTTTTATTTCCAAGCTAAGCATGCCATGCTGAACACTGGGCCAAGCAAGCTGAAAATAACACTGATTGATTTTTTTATTTTATTTTATTTTTTACTACTAAAATTATACTAAAGTGCAGCACAGCATGAGTTTTGATTCTAAAACACAATATAAAACACCTGATCAATACAGAAGACTAACCGCATTTAGAATAAAAATGTTGTGAGGAACATAACCTTACTTAGAAAATAAAACCAATTTAATTGCAATGTATTAATTTCAGTATAAAAAATAAATAAAAATAGAAAATAAGAAATAATGATCTAGGTTTTGAAAAGAAAGAATGTTATGAACTCGAGTTATTGCTTTTTAAAGTAAGATGAATTCAACAAAAATTTTATAGAAAATGTCCTTTTTATTTACTGTTTTTATTTAATTGCTTAATGAATATATATTTTCATTTACCTTTTACATCGGCCAACTCCTCTATTGTTGTTATATAATTCCGTGCGTTTACTGGAAGCTCACTGAATTTTCTTACTTTCTCAGTGCATGTTTTCCAACCAGGTAAAGTAATATATTCGACTTCTACTTTTGCTAATTCAGCTGCACATGCTGAAAAAATAAAAGAATTAAAATCACAGAACGCACTTGACTACATACGACCACTTAATATAAATTACAGGCCATAGTTCAAGGTAATTATATAATAAATTAAGAGAGAATATCTTGCTAAAAATTTGCTAAATAGAATTTTAAAACATACAAAATGGAATTATATTTCCTTTAACACCTAACAGCTACTTTAAAAGATTAACAAAGGAATACAAATATTTTACATTTTTGGGCCTTTACACAGTAATTAAGAATGGTCTTATTTCTTATCTATAGTACAGCCACTGCAGGGCTTACATGATTCTGGCAATCTCATTTTGTTATAATCAACCCATTACAATTTAGTACTTCCCTAATGTTGAAAATTTCATTCTTTGTGACGGGGAGGCAGATGATATCTTTGCAATAATATTTATATCAGATATTAATAAATGTCAGAGATAATTTTACTAAGCTATTTAGAGATTATTGTTAACTGGGAATTTAAATTATTAATGCCTGAAAAAATACAAGAAAAAATTGCTTATTGCAAAGCTTCACATATTAATCTTAAATTTTTAATGCACTGCAAAAGGCACTACACAAGTGGCAAACCATTCTCATAATTACATAAACAAAACTTCTCTACAAAGAATTCAGCTCTGTCTCCCGGTTAATGAATAATTAAATGATGCTTAATTATGTCCTGGTGATAGGCTTTTAAATATTATTTTAACTATTTCTACTGATTTTTTTATCTAAAGTTAATTAATATTTTTATTTTACAAGTATGGAAGAGAAAATACTTTGTGCCTGCAATTTTATTCCAAATACCATATTTTCACACAATATAAATATTTTAATATATTACATAAAATTCCCTATAATTATTTTTACTGAATTTTAAAAATATAAGGAGCAAACCAGAAAAGTTTTTTATTCAAAAAAATCCAGAAAAAAGTCTTATTTCCTATAATTACTTTTACTGAATTAAAAACCATAAGAATTGGTTTGGTAAAAATGCAGATGATTCTGTACACTATAAAAGAACAATATTAGTTTTAAATCAGTTGCTAGATACCTATAAGATAATACAGAAAAAAGTTTCTTTATTTCTAAATATTGAACTTTCTAAAAAATTCAATAGCACTTTGAAATTTTGTAAAAGTTACAAAATCATTACTATATCATCGCATACAGTTAGTTACAAGGTTTCTAGCCATTAATTTACACCAATTTTGCAGCCTTTTTCTTAGTGTAATGAACTTCCAAATGAGTGAAATACTCACAATGTTTTGTGTATTGCTTACATACTAATTAAATTTATAATTTTAGTGAATGAAAATTTCATTATTTTATCAGAATTGCATTTCTCAATGTTTTACCAAATTTGCAGTGTAAATTTTGAAATTAAGCCATCAAATTATTTATAATTCACTTTAGGATTGCTTACCAACATATAGTATTTTCTTGAAAATAAGACCTTCCTTAGTTTTTACAACAGATTTTAAGAAATAAAAGTGTAGGTGACTATTTGATTGTTGAAAATTAGGAAAAATTAGTGATAAATTTAATACAACTGGAAAAGTTAGTAATAATTATTTGTTTTTAAACTTTCAGGCTAATGCTCTATGGTAGAATCAGGCGTAAATTGAAATCTCTGTCTTAAACAAAGCTATTATAATTAGTGGTAATTATGTAATTATGCATTTCATGAAAAGCTGTAATTGTATTTCAATCTTATTTGATACATTTACTACAGTTATTTATGTTTTGACAATTTCTTCATTTTAATTCATTTGTACTATGTATAATTAGTGTACCTAAGATAAGTGTAACATGCCCCATTTACATAGCATATACCTTCAACATGAAGACTCTTCATATAAAAAGATGATTTTTAAAACTTTGTTGAATTCTGGTTGCATATTTCAAACTTTAAATTTATTCTGCACTTTTTTAGTTGGCGATTACGAAAACATTATACCTAAATGAAAATATATCTGAATAAATGCACTGTTGTAAAAATATGAATAAACACCAACAAAAAATAAATATGCTGTCAATCTGAACTAAACGCCCACCAGCAGCCAAAGCGGTAAAAGCCATGAAACACTGGTAGTTCGTTCCGGGGTTCAAGGGTGTTTTCCCCATACGTAACACGGATATAAGCCAGTTTCCCTTAAAAAAACCTCCACGGGACATCTCTTCCTTTCTGTGTAGTGCCTAATTGCGGAGCATATAATAAGTTAAAAATACAATCTAAAAAATAAAATGTTAAGGAATGAAACTCATACATGAACCAATGCATGCAAATTAAAATTAAGCATGTACTCATTCATTTATTACTTTATATCCTCATTCCAAGGATCTGCCATCAGATAACTCAAAAAATATTTTGAAATTTTGGAAGATCAAACAGAACCACATTGCCAAATATTGTTATTTATTTTTTTATTTTATTTTATTTATTATTATTTTTTTTAATCCTATGTATTTTCAGGTAAGAATACTTACAGTTTTCTTCCAAGAAATCTTCTATTTGGGATTTCCCCAAGAAAGTTTAATTTGGCAGATCTTTGTAATTTTTCCAAGTCCCAACAATAACTTTATTCAATATTTTCACATATAAATATTAAATTTTTAAACTGATTACATGTTAAATATTAAATCTATAAGCAGTTCAGTAACAATCAGCAGTCTTACCAGGTGGTGCTAATAATCTTTTGTTATCTAAATGATAAGCAACTCCAATTTTTATTTCTTCAAAAGTATCCAAGATATCAAGTTTTGTAAGAGCAATTCTGGAGAAGAAATGAACCTGCTTAATAAGCTTATAACAGATCATACAAAGAAAAAACAAAGGATAAAATTACTAGATAAATTTCCTTAATTCCATACATATATATAAAAGGGGTCATCAGAAACAAAATTATAATTTATAAGTAAGATGAAAATTTACTAATATGAACTAATAACCTGACATTTTAAAAAAACAGCACTGTAATGCACATAATTAACAGTTTGGTAGATAACTTTATATTATACAAGAATGACATACTGTTTCATGGCAGAAATTATTTTTAAAAGTTTAATTTTTAACCCAGGTAAAGTAAACTTTTATTAAAGTGTATTCTAACAACATTCAATTTCCTCCTCTTATTACATCAGATTGTAATCAGTAAAATATTCATACAGAAAGGTATTTACTGCTTTGCCTAAAAATATTCATACAGAAAGGTATTTACTGCTTTGCCTAACTCCTTTTGCCAGATTTTTGTAGTCTTACTTAACTTGCAAAACACAAAGGCAAAATTTTTTACATGTATTTTAATTAGAAAATAATGCTCATTTTGTATTGAATATTCTATTGATGTCATTTTGATCCCAAAAATCATTGCTTCTAATGCAATGTTACAGCCAATTGATAAATGGAACTCAAACCTCAGATGCTAATATTAAAATATATCTATATGTGATGCAAATCAGATCATTTACTGAAGACAATGAACTAACTCTACATATAGAACTTTAGAAAATATTCTGTTTGACTTGAAGTTGCAAAAATTTTCTTTTAATTGTGAAGGGTTCTAAGGGCTTTATATATATTAAAGATATCAGGGCTTAAGTTCAAAAAAAAAAAAAAAAAAAAAAATTTAAAAGAGATAATATTCTTTCATTCATTTTTATAAATAGGTGGTTATCAAATCAAACTCCTCTTACTCATATATCAAAATATATTAGTAATACGAAAATATTTTCTTGTTTAGATAAGTACAGGGTTCATAAATATTTCTGCACGTGGAAATTAAGGATTTTTAAGGACCAGTAATGAAAAAAATGAAGGATCTATGAACAAATAGGAACTGAATAAATTCAATTACAAATATCATCTACGTCTGAATTTCACTTTTGTAATACCATCATAAAAATAAAATAGATCCCTAAGTAGTATGCATTATTACTAAACACGAATTAATTTACATAATTATTAGTAAGTTTAAGACTAAAATAAACTTTATGCAATTTATCAAGTAGCATTAAATATTGTACATTTAAAATAGTTAGTCATATTTAAAAGAAGATAAGTGACATTTACGTTTTACTAACAATTAGCTTTATTTATTTATTTATTTATTTTTAATTTTTTTATGTCTCATTTTGTCACATACTTGGTCAGCCTACAGGTTTAGTAAATAGCATTTAGATTTTATGTCAAATGGCATAGGTTAAAATGAGAAGTAAGATCATAATCAGCATGATTCATAACAAAAGACTGAATGTCTGCCACTGCTGCTTGTCTAGAGAGAGACCTGCTGATTAGAACAAATGTGAAAGGCCTGATGTAGGCATGGTTGGCAAGTGTTGAAACTTAGTCAGGCTCTGTTTGATAGTGTTCGTGTCGTATCTTCATGTAGAGTTTCAGGGGTTATAACCCAGTTAATATACTTTTAGGTTCCAATAAGCCATTAAAGCACCAGAGGTGATAAGTTGTTTTGTATTAATTTAAGTTTCAGTAGATGCAAAGAATAAGTTTTACTTGAATTTTTACATTTTTGAATTTTATCTTGTGACCACAGTGATTATTAATGAAAGGCAATAACTTGCTTTAATATGCAGACATAATTTTTAAGAGTAAGCATTTAGCTATAAATAATTAAATTAGGTAGTTTGATAATCTTAGTCATTATGGATTTACATGACCATTTAAATTTTATTTTTTAACAAATATTGTTAAAAATAATAAAATTTTTTAACAAGTATTGTTAAAAAATAAAATATTGCCCTATTCAAATCAAAATCTAATAAATTAATCTAATTGATTCTTAAACAATATTAGGGTAATTACACATAAAAAGCTACAAAATATAAATGTTTTGTAACAACACCACTCAACAAAATATTTATCCATTATTTTAATTTGAAGCTTTCCCAGACATTTTGGATAGTTTATATTGATTTCCTTCTATTTAAGCATCTTTTCTAACAATTAGAGATTTGTCTCAATACGCAAACCAATGCTTTTGCTAGTCTTTGCATGCTTTATTTCTTAACTTGTCAACCTCTCCACAATGTACCTATGAGAGTTTACTTGATCTGGTAAAAGTTAATTAGTCCAAAACCCCACACAAGACGTGAAGCATATTACCGCTATGTCTAAAAGTAACTACAATATCAGACAAAGGTTTAAAAAAGCCTCTTATTTAAAAAGAACTTAGAACATAAAAGAATGTTGATGCTAACAAAATCAATTACAGCTCATGGTGACATAATTAAACAAGAACAGTCAAATTCAAACTGATGATGTGGACTAGTGGTCAAAGATAACACAATTTAATTTTAATTTTATCTGGCTCAGTAACTCTATCATATGAGGAAACAGAAATGGGAAATTATAGCAAAGGCTGAAATCATAAACAATTGGGTAATTTACATAATAATAACTGCACATATCTTTGAAGAATAATTTTCTTTACATATTCAGTTTCTTCAACACGTTTCCTTTTCATTTTAGTATTTTTGTATCTAATTAAGGATTTCTTTTATTCTAAAAAACACTAAATGCATTTAGAAAGTACAGAAAAAGCAGCTAACTTTATTTCTTTAGTAATAAGAAATATGAAATATATATGGTAAAGGCCGGTTACAGAGCCGATGTGGCAGAATTTTTAGAATTTAGGGACACACCGAAGAACAAAATGTAGAAATAGCAAAACTTTTAAAATTTAGAGCAAGCACTGGAAGCAAAATTTAGAAAGGCACTAGGCAGCAGAATTTAGGATCTACAGAGATTGCATCAGGTGAGAAAATGCCTAGTGCCAGCTATGTGTATGATGCATTAAAAATATTAGATGAATCTTTTAAATGTTGGATGAAGTTGCAAAAATTTCCTTTTAATTGTGAAGGGTTCTAAGGGCTTTATATACATTAAAGATATCAGGGCTTAAATTAAGACACAATTTGGTAAATATAACGCTGATTTTTGTTGTTTGACTTCTGAATTAGTATCAGGGCTTAAGTTAAAAAAAAAAAAAACAGCTTTCAATTTCTTTATTAATAAAAAGTCTCTTTCTATAATGCATGTCCATAGGATAAGATTAGAAGCATTTTTGATATTTTCCATGCTTGTGCCTAGTGAACAGTAGAGAAAATAAAGGGAAGATAAACATGTTAAGATTCTAGTATCAGAATAAAACATTTAAATGTTATGTTTTCAATAAACTTCCGAAGTTCTCCAAAATGCAAGAAATTCATAATACATCCATTATGTGTTGATACCATGGAGACATTTTTCATTTTGACACATACTTCTCGAATCGTGGGTCTATAAATCTTGCCTTCAAATCCTTCTAAACTTTCCAAGCTGCAATGTCTAAAATCCTAAAGAAAAATTATCCCTACCATTTCTGTAACAGCAAAAAGCCAGAAATATTTTAGAAAATATTTAGAAAAAAAAAGGGGGGGGATGGAAAAAGTGTAAAATTAATGTTATAGAGAAAACTGATGCACATTCTGAGAATTTTGAATATTTTGAGACAATTACATGGGAAAAACTCTTACTGTGAAAAAATTAAAAAGAAGACATTTTTAATTACATAGCTAATTTTGCTTTTGCTAAGAGCTGTTTCATAAATTGTGCTTTATAGCATTATACCTTGTTTATTTTTCAGATTTAAGATATTGTATAAGTTGCCAAAATGAACTTTATAATATGACAGAGAAAAATAAAAATGTTTTATTTTAATGTTATTTTTTAAATATAATTTCAGTACATTAATATTATTTTAATTAAGTTTATCAATGTTACGATGTTTTAAAAAAATCATCGATAAATTCTCAGACATCGGAATTAAAAAGTTTCTATATAAACTGATCTTAAAATTGCCAAAATGTTGAAAAGTCGGTAAATTTAGAACCCTTTAATAAAAAAATTCACATCCCCCAAAGTGAAAAGTTTTTAAGAACTCTTTATTAGAAAAAATGAATTTTGAAATGCCTATGTTTCACTTCTTGCTTAGAAACTTGAGTATCCCATCACTTATATTAGAAATAGAAACAAATTATAACTCATGAACCCATTCAAAAGATAACCATATATAAGCCAGAATTGCAAAAAATATTCCTCCAAAATGCTAATTCACACTCAAAATGGCAGTTGTAAAAACAGACAGAAATTTCAGATGATTAAAATAAGGACCTTCTGCTGATTTTGACCAAAATTAAGGACTTTTACAGACCAAAAATCAATTCAAAAAAATCTAAGGACTTTTAAGGACCGTACAAACCCTGTAGTAATGTGAAGTTTCCAGAACTTTTACACATTTCATTAAAAATTACACAGAACTATTTCTTTGGTTAATAAATAAAAATAATTTCAATACTCACGAAGTATAACCATTTATCATATTTGAGTAACGAAGTAAAACAGCATCCAACCAACCGCATCTACGTTTTCTTTTCGTCGTAACACCTATTTCACCCCCTCTCGACTGCAGTATTTCACCAATTCCCTATTAAGAAAAAAATTATTTTTTTTAACAATACAAATAAGCCGACATGAACACAGTAAGGAAATATGTTTTAAAAGAAAGATGCAACATTAATAGTGTATACCAGCGACTCTCAGCTGGTGGTATGTGTAACACTGGTGGTGGGTACACAAGAGAAAAATAGGTGATATACAAAGAAACAAAGTATTTTTAACTATTAAATTCAAAAATTAAATATTGCAATATCATGTTTAAGTTTTTTCTTAAACATTCATAAATGTATGTGAACTCAGCTTTGTTCAAGGTCAATAGCCCCTCAGAAACTTTAGCAAAATAATCAATTTTTACTTTCACAAATATTCTTTTAGCCATAGACATAACAAAATTTGTCATAAATGATGTTTTTAAAAGAAGAAATACAAATGAATGTTGTATTTAATAGGAAATTAAAATAAATTCCTATAAAAAGCTAATAGTTTAATAGAGTTGATCGATTTATGAGCATGTCTACACTTTATGTGGCCCCCCTTCCTGGCTCATATAGCTCTATTTTCAATCAGAATTTTTTTATTTTTATTTATTATTATTATTATTTTTTTTTTAAACGTCGATTTGCTGTTTCTAACAGCAGGTATTTTGTTTTCTTATTACTTTGTATTCCCTACTACACGATTTGAGAATATTGTCGGCTGTTTTTGAAGAACTATATTGTACATTTAAATACCTGTATTTACATTTATTGGAAATTTGCATCATACATTTAAATATTTGCAAAAAAATAATAAAACAAACCTAGGTTTTTTTTTCAAAATGGAAAAATGGCTAGGATTGGAAAAGTGATGATTCCAGGACAATCTACTAGCACTAAGAATATTGAAAAGAAAAAGGAAAATCTTTTACTGAAAATATAATGAAAGTTACTTATCATTTAGGTTTACTTGGAAAATGGACCCTCAACCTCAATGTGTTGTTTGTGGTGAACTATTATCCAATCAAAATATTAAACCATCACATTACTTAAAAGACATCTTGAATCTAAGCATGGCAGTTTAAAGGATAAATATGAAGAATGTTTTAAGAGGTAATTATTAAAGTTCAAAAACACTTCTGTTACTTCAAGTGAAAAAGCTTTGGAAGCTAGTTACCTAGTAAGCCTAAGAATTGCCAAGACTGGGCAGCCTCACTCTATTTGAGAAAACCTTATATTACCAGCAGCTAAAGATATTGTTTTAACATATTATTCAAAGAAAAAGAGATTAATGAACTTAATAATAATATTCCACTACGAAATAATACGGTAAAAGTTGACGAATTCATGAAATAGCAAAAAAGAGATATTTATTCAACAAAAAAAAAAAAAGTATTTTGCATGGTTAGTTGGATGAAAGTATTGATATAATGAACTTTGTTCAATTATTAGCATACATGCATTTTGAAGAAAATAAACAAATTGCCGAAGAGTATTTATTTTGTGAATCTCTTCATGATAGAGCAACTGCAAATTAAATTTTCAAAGTAATTAGCAATTTTATGTCAGAGAAGGATATTCCTTGGAGTAAGTGCATTGCCATATGCAGTGACTTGACTTTTGCTGATTCCATCAATTCAATTACAAGTCAATTGTCTGTCAGTCAGTCAGTTATAAATCAGACCTAAATTGGGGTCTTATTTCATTCCCGATACCATCTTTGATTATGGATCTAAAGATACTTAATATCATCTTTAGATCCATACTTTTACAAATTAGGCTTATAAAAGTATATAACATTAAAAAATTAATATAAAATATATAACATTAATGATTCATGAACTCATGCAACATATAAAAACAATTTATTTGTATACATTCATATATGCACTACACATACATAAATTTAAAAAAAAAAAAAAAACACATTCTTTAGGTTAGTCAGAATTAAGAAAACATGTAAATGATGCCTTTAAATTTAAAATAAAAGGTAAGTAATTATTACTGATTTGAATTAGTCATTGGAAAACATGTTATTGAATAATTAGTTATTACTGAATTGCTATTAAAATCTTACAAAAAACAATGCATGTTCATCTATGCTGGTGGTGAATTTTAATAAAAAGATTTTTAATTTTACTTTCTGATCATGAAAGCAAGTCGTACTGAGTAAGGACTACCTCTACCCAAAACATTAAAATTTTCATCACATAAACCGAGTTTTTCCATACAATGAAATATACAGATCACAAGACTGCTTTATTTCTTTTCACTTAGCAATCTTCAGAAATATAACAGTTGCAACTCAGAAAATGCCATTATGCAACAACAAAATTGATTTAATTCCTAAAGTGATGCCCTTAAATAAATTCCCTGTTTATTTAAAAATTTAAAAATAATAGTATTAATAAAAGATCATCCAATTAAAAAAAGTTTAAATACAAAATTAAAGTACTCCTGAAAACTGGAATTTTGCTTTTTATATGGAGTCAGGCAAGATTGAAAAATAACCATATAAAATTTTAAATATTAACACATAACTATAAATATTAGCTCTAATTTTTTATGTGTTCAATGATCATACTGCTACGAAATGGGTGGTGAGATAGCTTCCACGCAAAGCAGTTTTAGGGTTGCCACAACACGGCAAGAGAAGGCAAGGTTGCCACATTTGGCGAGAAATCGCCCATTTGGTGACAAAATTGGTGATATGCCATGGACGGTTGGAGAACCTTCTGGAACGAATTCTTACCGGTTTAGCCTAGAATGTTCTCGAACACCAGTCAAAAGCTGTATAAACCCTGCTGGTACACGGAGAGTTAGTATCGAGAGTGAGTGTGTGCTTCATCGAGAGGGCGAGTTATTGTGCCTCATCTAGCGAGTCAATCCCTGCAGAGTCGATCGAGTTGACAGCCAGACAACGAGTGCCGAGTGGGTCATCGACTGCATCGAAAGAGTGCATCGTCGTGAGAACGTGTTGAGCTCCGGCAACGACTGAACCGAAAAGTCGGGAGCCATGCTTTGTGTGTCGTCGAGTGCATCGGGAGTTGTAGTGTGGAGAGTCTCGAGAGTACACGGAGTTCCAAGAACAATCGAGGAGAGTCGGGCGCTGTACTCTAGTGCTTTGCAGTGAAGCTGTCTCCACTGTTATTGCCTGACAGTGTGAAGGCTGTGTCGCTGATTGCTACAGCATGTTTATTGTCTTCGGCGACTGCAAAAGTGTTTTGGAGCTGCTAACAACTGGTGTCAGAAGAGATAAAAACGTAACAAATGGTGTCAGAAGTGGGATTTGAGGGTAAATGCCAGTGACAAGACCAATGGAAGATCTACTAAGACAGCTTGTGACTGCCTTTGCTGAATTCCAAGAAAAGATGGAAGCCGGACAGAAGTTGAAAGTCGGATATGCTGAGATAAAAGCCAGATGTGCTGAGATAAAAGCCGGATATGATGAGATAAAAGCTGGATATAAAAAGATAAAAGCTGGATATAAAGATAAAAGCTGGATATAAAGAGATGACAGCTGAAATCAAAGCCGAACTAGAAGAGAAGAAAGGCCGACAAGAAGAGATAAATGGTGAACAAGAAAATGTGCGAGAGCAACTCCAACAGCTGAAAGTGGAGCTTACAGAAGAAACTGGAGGCATAAAAGATGATGTGAAATGAGAAGTGGATGAATGGAGAAAGAAGATGTGAAAATGACAGTAGGGGCATCTCGAGAATCCAAAGGATGAAGAAATGAAAGAAGTAGCTAATGAATTTTGTCTGAGAAAGAGACCGAGAAATGATCAGGATGAAACACCTAACGGGATTAAAGAAAAAGAACGAAAACATGAAGAAATAAAAGACAGGAATGAAGACTTTTGATTCTCATGTTGCCTGAAGTAGAGATAGAAGAAATGTAAAAATGTCGACTGTTAAGTTCCGTAGAAACTGATAGTGAAGTTACGAAAGTCACAGGCACTCAGCATAGCCTTGAACCATCTGAAAGTGCACGTGATGCAGAGATGAGAGAAGCTGATGTGCAGCTTAAGCAGTGCGCCAAAGTACTGCAAGAAAATTCACCCACTTTGCAAACTAGGTGTGCATCTCATAGTGGAGATTTTGTAGACAAGGACATGATTCTAAACCAGATACTTCTGCTTGTAAAGGATCGGATTCTATTCGCGATCCTGGTGCAAACATCGGAACTGGTTCCCAGGAAACGGAGGAAAAAAAGCATGTATCAATTGCTGAAAATACCGAGGTAAACTGTATGCCTGCTGAGAATGAACTACAGACTGGTGAACAAACTCTTAGATTTTCCTGTGGATAAAAAGCCTGACAGAACCGACTCTTCAGACTGTGATATGCAAAACAGAAATGCATCTGAGAACTGCAGTGAAAAAGTATTTGACCCGGGTATATTTTCAGTGTTACGAAATGTACAGGCACGTTGAGATAGCCTCCCTGCAAAGCAGTTTTAGGGTTGCCAACATGGTAAGGGAAGGCAAGGTTGCCACAATTGGTGAGAAATCGCCCATTTGGCCACAAAATTGGCTTTATGCCATGGATGGATGGAGAACCTTCTGGAACGAATTCTTACCGGTTTAGCCCAGAATGTTCTCGAACACCAGTCAAAAGCTATATAAACCCTGCTGGTAAGTGGAGAGTTAGTATCGAGAGTGAATGTGTGCGTCATCGAGAGGGCGAGTCAGTGTGCCTCGTCTAGTCAGTATAGAGTTGGTGTCTCGCCTAGCGAGTCAATCTAGTTGACAGCCGAGTGGGTCGAAAGAATGTATCGTGGTAAGTGCATCGTCATCAGAACGTGTTGAACTCCGGGAACAACTGAACCGAAAAGTCGGGAGCCGCGCTTTCTGTGTCGTCGAGTGCATCGGGAGTTGTAGCGTAGACAGTCTCGAGAGTACGTGGAGTTCCGAGAACAATCAAGCAGAGTCGGGAGCTGTACTCTAGTGCTTTGCAGATAAGCTGTCTCCACCGTTATTGTCTGACAGTGTGAAGGCTGTGTCACTGATTGTTCCAGCATGTTTATTGTAGATCTTCGACGAGTGTAAAAGTGTTTTGGAGCTGTCCTGATTAATATTGGTAAATAAGGTGTGCTTCGATACTTCATCTAGTGTCATTGTTATTCACTCCAAATCCACACGAACCCCGTACGAACGTGAAGGAAGAAAATAACGTAACTAGTGTCAGAAGAGAGAAAAACTTAATATTTATTTTTTAATAGTAGATAACGGAAAACAATATAAATAATTTAAGAACTCTCACATCACACAACTCTGTTGGGAATGGTCCATCACCAACCCTCGTTGAATAAGCTTTCACAACACCACATATTTCTCCTATAACCGTTGGTGGAACTCCTAAACCTGTACACACTCCTCCAACTGTGCAATTCGAAGAAGTTACGTATGGATATGTTCCTGTTAAAAGTAAGAAATCAGCACAAAACAAGTAAACAAAATGTCTACACACTAGTTTATTAGAGAATTTTAAAACAAATTACCAAAATCAATATCCAGGAGAGCGGCATTAGCTCCTTCTACCACTATTTTTTTGCCGTTTTTTATAGCCTCATGAAGATATGTTACAGTGTCAGTAACAAATGGTGCAATAGATTTGGCGTATTCCTACAAGTGTAAAATATGTAATTATATATATATTAAAAATGATCAAATACAGTTACACCAAATTTGGCATTTTGTGTAAAATATATGAAACAATATCTGAATAATGAACAACATATAATTGGAAAAAATTTCTGAAAAACTAAGTTTTACAAATCAGCTTTCTTATGGCTGATCATTCATGAATCGTAGAAAATGTGTTTCCATGTTTGTGTTGCTTTTCTAATTAAAAATTTATAATCTGCTTTTAAAACATCTACCTAATACAAAATGTTTAGATATCTTTTTCTTTTCCTTGAAAAGAAAAGTTGCATTCCAGCTTTTGATACCTGGAAGCAAATCAAAAGTACAAAGTAGGAACAAAAGTAATTTTACTGCCAAAATGAGTATCTGTGAAATTTTTTACAGTAGAACTAAGGTCTAGCTAAGTCTGATTAACAAACCCAGACAAATGTCCTATTATTATCAGCAAGTATATAAGTGAAAAAATTAAACACATTTTATCGCCAAACTGATTTTCTTAAAAAAAAAAAAAAAAAAAAAAAAAAAAAAAACATTTAAGTAAATAACAGTGTCACTGCTATCTACATATATTACCTCTCTATGTTACATAACATATGAGCATTAATGAAGGTAATGGAATTTTCACCTAACTTTTATATTTTTGCCACATGCAGCACTAAATAATCCAGGGATATTCCATTTTCAATCCATATCATCTATTGTAATTATCGGAATATTCCATGCATGTTCTTGGGTAACATTTTATGCTTCTCTGAAAATGTTCACAGAATGTTATATGAATATTCCAGTTTGGAATATTTGACTAATCTATCGAATGGAATATGCCTGAGCAACTAATTCAGAAATAAGAACATCTCGTAACTACCTGGCAGACTTAATGTAACAGATTAATTTTTTCTAACCATGGCACATCTGCAAATGAAAATAATCTTTTCATGTTTTGATTCTATTCCCAAAATAAAAATTAATCTGTACAGATTAATAGTCCAAATAAGAATCAGCATACATAGACTGTTGAAAGAAATTAGCCCCTTTATCTTCATTCAGTTTAATATTCTAGTTATCTTTATTTTTGCTTAATTCTGATTCAACGAACTGCATCAGAAAAAATTGATCACACAAAAGAGAATCATGTGTGAAACATTGTTGCATTCAAGAAATATAATTGTCCCATACAAATCTCAAAATATTTTCAGAAGTACTAGATGCAGCATGATTACCAATCAGACATCAACATTCTTACACAAAGAGACTAAAATACATGTGGAGAAAATAGTTTCCAACATGAATAAAATTTGAAAAGAGAATAACTTTTCTAGTTAAAAATCAGAAATCAAGAATCCATCTTGTTTCCTGTTTTAGCTCACAAATATTTTACTGAAAAGGGAAATCTGAGACAAACTGACACTCCAAAAAATATCATATTGGAACAGTGAATGCTTTCATCAAAAACAGAAACATTTCACCATCCTAGGTCTAGATTTCTGATGGATATTGCTTAACTGTAACTTGTAATACAATACATCCATAAAAGAATATCCCCCTTATAAATTTTAATAACATCAACTGTAAGCCATAATTAAAAAGCTAACTCAAACAATTTTAACTAAGCACATACACAAGTAAGCACTGTTTTGTGGTTTTCTTGCTTGCAACGTCATGTAAGCAAAATGGCGACTCTGGAGCATGAAGCATTTTGTGTTCTTCAATTTGATAACAGTAAATCTGTAATTTCAGTTCAAAGCGTATTTCATTTAAAGTTCAATTATGATCCTCCATGTGGCAAAAACATCCACCGATGGTATAGACAATTTGAAATGACCAGATGTGTTTGTAAAGGGAGAAGCATGAGAGGACCAAAAGTATCTGTAGAGGATGTAAATGTCAAACCATGTTTTATAGTCCTAAGAAATCTTTTTGGAAATCAGGTCTTGAACTTCAGTTGCTAAACATAACAATTTGGAACGTTTTAAGAAAACATTTACGTATGCATCCATACCAGGTATAGTCGGTACATGCTTTAAAGCCATATGCCTAAGATGTACATTTTAACTCTTCAGGCAAAGTATTTGAGCGGGATGATAACTTTTTTTATCATCTGGTATTCAGTGGCAAGTCAACTTTTTGTCTGAGAGGGAAGATGAATACCCACAATATTCATAAATGGAGATCAGAACGTTCTCATGAACTTCTAGAACACCAAAGAGATTACCTGAAATTAAATGCTTTCTGCACTGTGTCTCAATGTCAAGTGTACAAATCATTTTGTTTTGTTGAAGCTACCATAACAGGGGTGGCTTACCTGGAAATATTACAAGAATGGTTCTTTCCCCAATTACTAGAGGATGAACTTGTATTTGGCAACAAGATGGAGCCATTCTCTAATTGAATAACTTTATAGAAGAATGGTTGAACAGTTGGTCCCTGACAGTTGGGTTTGTCGTAATGTAATGTCGTGTTTGCAATTGTCGATATTATTCTGAACTTTTAATCAACGTGTGGGAAGAACTGGATGAGGTTGGATGTATGCCATATAACTAAAGGTGCACATTTGAACATTTGTAAGAAAAACTAGGTTAGTTAACCTTCAATTTTATGCATAATTTGTTGCAAATAGTCTAAATTAAACTGTTATAACATATCCTTGAAATTGGGACATTCTTTTATGGACACCCTGTATAACTTTGTACAGGAAACATATCTTTTCAGCAATATTCTATAATTCGGCAAAGAGCTGATAAATTACACTTCACTCCTCAAAAAATTCAAAAGACTCAAAAGGACAAACTGCTAGTGCACTGCAGAATTTGGCACCTTGAAGCTAATAAAAACCTTAAAAGAACATGTAAGACTTGCGAACAAATAATTTAGTAAGTTATAGTATTTTTGGCCAGTCCAAATGACACACAAAATCTAAATACGAGGGCTATCCAGAAAGTAGATTACGTTTTGGAATAAAAACATAAACAAAGTATAGCAAACAAATTTTATTATATACAGATGAAAGCCACACTCAAATACTACTTTTCTACATAGTCACCATACAAATTAAGGCATTTATCGTAGCGATGTACGAGCTTGGAAATTCCTTCGTCGAAAAATTCGGCCGCCTGCGCCTTTTGCATGCATTTCTTGGGTTTTTGGGGAGAACTTGTGTGCCCCCACTGCATTGATTGCAATTTCGTTTCACAGTTCACATGTTTCACCCATGTTTCGTCACCAGTAACGATGCGATCGAGTAAAGAGTCACCATCCTTATGGTAAGCGTCCAAAAAGTTCAACGCTGCAGCCATTCGCTGATTTTTGTGGTCCTCTGTCAAGATTTTTGGAATCCATCTTGCACAAAACTTGTGGTAACCAAGCTTTTCGCTGATGATTTCGTGCAAACAAACTTCGCGAAATTTGTGGAAAACTCAAAGAAAGTTCCGTTATTGTGAAATTTCGATTTTCACGGACTTTAGCATCGACTTTTTCGAGAAGTTTCGGCGGTCACTATGCTGGGTCTCCCACTTCGATCTTCGTCGTGAACATTGGTTCGGCCATTTTGAAATCTTATGACCCACTGACGCACTCCACCTTCAGTGATAATGTTGTCCCCATACACTTCACGAAGCTGCCGATAGATTTCTATCGGTTTTAACAGTTTTTTTGCAGTCAGAAACCTTATTACTGAGCGCACCTCGCAGCTCGCGGGATTTTCAATTAACGCAGACATTTCAAACCGTCACAGTATCTGAACGAAGCACAGCACGAACCTCTCACTAGCACGGCTAGATGCAGACTGAGCTGCGCAACGCTCTGACCCCAAGATGGCCGCGCTAGCCCCGCCCCTAGCGGACACAGACGGAAACGTAATCTACTTCCTGGATGGCCCTCGTATATTGACAATCCACATATATAAGATGTTCCTTTAAAACATTATAGAGGTCTTGTTAAAAATCTTGCATGTTTAGATTCTAAGCAAGTTCGCACATTTATACAAAGTTGCATTCTGGTAGATGCCATTTGTAAATTATTCCAGATACATAACTGTCAAACACACAATTATTTTTCCATGTATGATGGAAAAAACTGAAAGAATATCAGCTTGAAAGATTTTAATAACAGTGAATAATATGATGAGCCATTACTTTGTTGGTCTACTGTGCTGCTAATAAATAGTTCTTAAAATTCAAAATTTCTTTACATTACAATTAAATATAACTTTTACGTTTAATTCTCCTATGTCTCATATATGATAATGCTCTGTATCAAAGTGGAAACAAATATAAAATAATTAAAAATAATTTTTTAAAGAAATTAGACCTTTTATGAAGTATTTAGTTTTGATTTTTAAATTATACATATGTATATACATATATATATATTGTAAAATGAGAGTTGAAAATCATAAATATAAAATAATTACACAGCAAACTGATATACTATATTACCTTAAATTAAATATAATTTTCAAGAAAAAAGTACATAAAAAAACATTGGCATACAATACAGACTTTAAAAATAAAATACAGTACATATTTAACAAATCCTAAAATCATGGTATCTTACTTTGTACTTTTTCACTTCTTGTTCAATATCAACATTTAAATCTGGATGTTGATGCATGTAAGTTTTTAGAAGTCGCCGATACCTGCAAAAATTTTGAAAATGTAAGTTAGAATTTTTTGTTTTAATCTCACTAAATACGTATCACATACTTGCATTGCCTCTTGTATTTAAAATGCAATGTTTCAGATAAAAAATTTTACACCTAATAAAATTTTTCTTTAAACATTTCATACAAATAACATTGAGAACTGATAAATAATGACTTTTTAGGATTTTAAAGACTTAAATAATAATCAAAATAAATGAGAAGTAAAAAATATTAAAAGGACATTAGCACAGAAAAACAGAATAGTTCTTATTAGTCAGGGGGAAAAAAAAAATAGAAACTTTCAAAATTAGATCTAAAATTTTGCTGGGTGAACCTAATTAGAAGTTTAGATAAGTTAATTGTGTCAATTTAAATAATAACATAGAAATTCTACACTGGTTATCATAAATTAAGGAAAAATCACAATTACTGAAAAAGTTACATGGAAAATTTAATGAAACTTACCCACAATATCCAACACATAGCAAAGTATCAAATAACATAAAAAGAAATTACCAGACAAATATGGTAGTATAGAAATTAGCACATGTATAAAATGAACAAATCGAAGGTGTCAGTTTGCTATAGGAAAAGTACCTTCAATACGGAATATGATCGCTTCTAGAAGCAATACATACAGTGATGTGTGATGTTTTCAATTATGCGGTGTATCAGCACCATAGGAAGCGAGAGCCATTGCTCTTGCAAAGCAGTTGCAAGCGCGACAAGGGTCTGAGGGGGCGGATTGAGAGCAGCTAGACGTCTCCCTAAAACATCCCAAACATGCTCGATAGGATTCAAGTCCGGGGATCAAGCTGGCCACTCCATGCGCATAATTATTTCCTGTTGAAGATAATCATCTACGATGCGAGCCTGTGTGGTCTTACGTTGTCGTCCTATAACAGGAAAGCATCACCTATTGCCCCGGCATATGGGCACACATAAACATCAAGGATGTCATCTCTGTAAGTCTGAGCATTCACGGTTCCCCTTGGAAAGACATGGAGGTCTGTACATCCACCCAAAGAGATGCCACCCCAAACACAGACTCTGCCCCTTCCGTATGCATCTCTTTCACGGATGTTTGACAGATGATAATGGGTTCTAGGTTCTCTCCATATCAAATAATGCCTACTATCACTTTCTAGACTAAACCTGTACTTATCCGTAAAGAGAACCGCCCTCCATTGATCAAACATCCAGTATGTTATCGTGACCACTGAAAACAGTGCCTCCTATGACGTGACGGGCACACAAATGGTCGGTCGCCTCGCATATAGACCACCTTCGTGAAGCCTTCTACGCACAGTTGACGTTGGCATGAACCTTCTGGTGGCTGCAGCAAGGGAGGGTCTAAAAAGAGTCGGAGTAGTGGTTCTATTCCTGCATACACATAATGTCAAATATTGATCACCGGCGCTCATCGTAGCAGTAGGCCGTCTTTGGCTGAACCTCCTAGATGCCGAATCTGTGGTTTGAAATTGCCTTCAAAGTCTATGAACCACAGAAGGACTCGCATTTAGCCATCTGGCCACTTCTGTTTGACTTTGCCGTGCCTCTAGTCTCCCAAATGGCTCTACAGGCAAATGATGCATGGAGGTCATTGTTATGAATTGGCTATCTCAGATTTCTGATGTCACTGTTAAATATGTGGGCTTGCTCTCAAACATGGACTTTTATGCTCCTCGCAGATGACGTATTCCGAAAGCAGCGCCACTATTTTGCATATCGCAGTTTTACTCAGCTTCTCTTACTTGGCAACATATTAAAATTTTACATGGTTTGGCTTATTTTTGAGGGAGTTATTGCTATTTTTGTGACTTTTCCTTAATTTATGATAACCAGTGTAAATAATATCAAAGAGAGAGGAACAGAAGATTTTCTTTCTCTTACATAAATTATATCCTTTAATTTGGTTCTGTGTGATACAGCAACTCGCCTAATGTAGCACATTTAAAAACTGTCACCATTAGTTTGAAAACCTGCCACCAAGGTAATCCTGTTAATACTACACATGATTTGAAATTTATTCTGCAACCAACTATTTCATTACAGCCCTATTATTTATTTAAATATTTTAGATTTACATATATTAATTTCTTATATTCAGTTGGGTTTTCAGCTAAGAAAAGGTGTAACAGATAATGGCTAATTTAGAAAAATAAGTACAAATATTGGTCTAGGTCTTTCAACTATTACCCTTTCGCCGATCGAACAATCCGCCAGCAGCTGGTTCACCATCAAGTAGAAACAATATATGTAACAAAGATTGCTCATAATATATATAATTACTTGTTTACAAGTATGGGATATAAGGAAATTACACATAATTAGTTAGAAAATTATGTTATTATTAAATAAAGGAAAATTATCACATTTCATAATTGTGGACTAAACATCTGGGCTTCATAAACTGAGCTTGTCATGTTTTAAAAGTTAAATTCATTTGAAAATTATGCCTTATTATGCTAGTTTAATTAATGAAATTCCTTACTAATAAAAAAAATGTACCAAATGCTGAAAAGTTATTACCAAGCCATATACAAAATTACATAAAATATGTTAAAAATATTGTTTTCACACTTAAATTATTTTTGAAACATTTATATATATTATGACAAAAATTTTTAACTAAAGCTAAAAAGCGATATTATTATAAATAAAAATGTCAACAGTATTAGTACACATTTCTGCACATGGAAATTAAGCACTTTTAAGGACCATTAATGAAAAATTTAAGGACCTATGAGTAAATGGGACATGATAAATTCAATTAAAAAATATTATCTATGCCTGAATTTCATTTTTGTAATACCATGCTAAAAATAAAATAGATCCCCAAGTCGTATGCATTTATACTAAACATGAATTAACATATTTGTTAATAAGCTTGAGAATAAAATAAACTTTATGCAATTTTATCAAGTAGCATTAAATATTTTACACTTATAATAGTTGGAAATATTTGAAAGAAGATAAGTGACATTTAAGTTTCACTAATAGTTAGCTTTATGTTGATTTTTTTAATGTCGCATTTTGTCACATACTTGGTCAGTCTAGAGACTTAGTAAATAGCAGGTAAATTTTATGTCAAACGGCATAGGTTAAAATGAGAAAGAAGATCATACATAATCAGCATGATTCATAACAAAAGACAATGTTTTCATCGCTGCTGCTTGTCTAGAGAGACCTGCTGATTAGAACAGCAGTTAGTGTCGTAGCTTTATGTAAAGTTCCAGGGATTGTAACCCAGTCAATATACTTTAAGGTTCCAATAAGCTATTAAAGCACCAGAGGTGATAAGCTGTTTTGTATTATTTTAAGTTACACTAGATGCTCTTTGCATCTTATTCTTTATAAGTTTGCTACTTCTTATAAAGTTTACAACTTATTCTTTATAAGTTTTACTTGAGTTTTTACATTTTTGTGTTTTATCTTGTGACCACAATGAGTATTAATGAAAGGCAATAACCCGCTTTAATATGTAGAGATAATTTTACGGGTAAACAGTTAGTTACAAATAATTAAATTAGGTAGTTAGATAACCTTACTCATTATGGATTTACATAGCCACTATTGAATTTTATTTTTTAACAATATTTGTTAAAAAGCCCTATTAAAATCAACATCTAATAAAATTTTACAGTTTAAAATACATGTAATTTATGACATTGATTCTTAAATGATATTAGGATAATTACACATTAAAAGCTACAAAACATTTATGTTTTGTAGCTTTTAATGTTGTTACAAAACATAATTTAAATAACATAATACAAAATTTTAATGTGGTAATAACACTCAATAATTATGCGTCTTTTTAATTTGAAGCTTTCTCAAACATTTTGGCTAGTGTATATCGATTTCCTTCTCTTTAAGCATTATTCCTAACAATTGGAGATTTGTCTCAATATGCAAACCAATGCTCTCTCTCTCTAGTTTCTGCACGATTTATCTTCTAACTTATCAACCTCTCCACAATGTACCTATGAGCATTTACTTGATCTGGTAAAAGTTAAATAGTCCAAAACGTTCGACAGGAAGGAAGTAAATTATCACTATGTCTGAAAGTAACTACAATATCAGACGAAGGTTTAAATAAGCCTCTTATTTAAAAAGAACTTAGAACATTAAGGCACGTTCTGATGCTAGCAAAATAAATTACAGCTCATGGTGACGTAATTAAACATGAACAGTCAAATTCAAACTAAAAATGTGGACTAGTGGTCAAAAATTATACAATTTAATTTTAATTTAATCTGGCACAGTTCTGTGGGTGTGCCCACAGAATTAAACGATAAGTTCCATCTTCACAAAATTTTACTTGTGTACTCCTCTAGGCCTAATTAGACTGCCTACCTTTTTTTATTTTTATTTTTATCAAAACTCCGACTTTAAAAGGTAGCGTGCCCAAAAGGGTTAAAGGTATTTGTAACTGCTGAAGAGTCCAATGGTCCTTATCCACTTGGCCATTTATAGGCCTTCAAGTCATAAATAAAGCTATAAATAAAACAATATCTTTTATTACAAGTAGTTCAGTTTAGGGTTTGAATCCGAGAGAAAAGACTGGCTGCACGGGCGTTTCCCTATGTGCAACCTGTATATGAGCCAGTTTTCCTTAAAACATCCTCCAGGAAGACATCCCTCCCTTAAAGTATATAGCCCTCAAATGCCATCTGTTTTCCTCCAATTTTTTACCTTTTCAATACTTGTCAGTACAGTATCATGTCAAATACTCAAGAAAGTATGTAATGGTAAAGTTACCAACAAGTTCCAAATTTGCTAACTCTTTTGGGCCGACTGTCATGCATACAATACGAGCAAGAAACGCACTCATTTCCCAGAGGATCCTGACCTTCATTTTGATCACATTCTCTGTAGTGTTGGTGTCAGCTGTTGCGGGGGAGGAGGGAAAGCGTAATGCAAACAAACGCAGCTCAGCTTTTTAATTCCCCACATGATATTAACGTTCATGTTTTTGATATCCCCTCGAATTCTTTTTTTTTTTTTTTTTTTTTTTTTTTTTGCTACTATGTAGGATCTTTTAGGGTCCTATTATGCTTTGGATTGCTTCTATCGCTTAATATTTCATGAACTTCCCTTTTTATTACAGAAAGTCTCAACACTTGCTCGTCTTAACTAAAGTTTATTACTGGCGAGCAAGCATTATTTATCAGACAAAGGATATACTTGCACAGTAAATGAGCCAATTAGTGACATGAATGTGAGTTATGATTCATTTTCTTAAGTGTTAGAGAACGATACTTCTAGTCATTCTCACGTGGACATTTCGTCACAGACAGAACTCACTATCTGCCCGTCTTATGGTTCATGTGAAGGAATTTGTTACTTCTTCTTCTAAATAGTCTTTTTTGTATTTTTTAATTAATTTATTTATTATTTTATCAACTAAAAGTTCAGAATAATTTGAATAGCACTTGAAAAAATTATTTCTCAATGTAAGCAATTTTTTTTTTTACATTTTTCATGTAAATAAAAAGAAAAAGATTAATAAATGTTCATTTTAACATATATGGTGCTTAAGTAATAATCTAAAATAGCACCAAAAATTATGTTAGGATAAACTTTTTTATCCCCCCAAAATTAGGCTTAGCGAAGGCAACATGCATGCAAATATATATGCAAATAGAGAAAATACAAAACTAAAAAATATAACTTTTCGTTTCACTATGAAATAACCACACAATTAATGACCTTTCATAGCAAAACACACATAATTACATTTGTATCCCATTAGTGGAAAATTACTTACTTTTCCTCAAACAAGGAGAAGTCTCCGAGGAGGTCAGCCAGACGTATCCCGCTACGGCTGGCCTAGGAACAAGGTCAAGAGGACAAAAATGTTACTCATGGCACTAAGTGCCAAACAAACATTGCCACTCTCTACCAGTGAAAAATTTGTTTTGAAGTTTCATTTGAATTTAGAATAAAAAATATTTACTTACTTTACAAGAGTAAGTTGGACCAATTCCTTTCTTTGTTGTACCTATACTGTAAGGGGAAAAAAAAAAAAAAAAAGATTTATATTAGTGCTTTAAAATATAAAATAACAAAATTAATAAATACAATAGCATATATACATCTGAAAACTTTCTGATCTGGATACAATACACTTAAATAAATACTGCACTCATAAATAAGAAAGATTCGCCACACGGAATGACTATAGCTCTCAGTGTTGGCAATTTGTTAGGCTGCGTGGCAAGTAATAATTCTTTGAAATTGCTTTGTTCCTTAACAAAAGATCACAAGAAAATTTCATGAAAAACATGAAAATTTTCTTTGTGTGAATTATTTATTTTTTGATATCAGATTTAGTAACTTTATTTCAAATTTCTACTATATTTGCTTCATGCAGATTGGGGATGCTATGCATGAATACTTTTTTCATTTGGGTTATATTTAAGATTATTTTTTATGGATTTCAATCCATTCTCCCTCCTCAATAGATAATTCAAGGGAGTAACTTTAAAATGCTTACCTTATTCACAGCAGCCTATGAACAGAATTATTTTAATTTTTAGTTTTATTAATTTTAATTTAATGCTTCTTTTAAGGTCATAGAGGAGGAAAAATTACTCAATTACAAAGCCCGTGTTTCTCGCCAAACTGTTTGGCACCGTTGTTAACTTGTAGATGAGTAACTGTCACACCATTTCACAAATCCCGAAAAGTTACTATGGAGTAAAAATCTGACATAATTTGTTATAATTCAGAATATTAATGTGAAACCAAATATGCATGCATATACACATGTTTTCACAGCTTTATTAGAAAAACAAAAAATACAATTTCTTTTAATTTATTAAAAATGAATGTTCCACTACATTGCTTCACATATTTGAAACATTATTTCATAAATTATTCAAATGTATACTTTTTACATAATAATAAATATTTCACAGTATGTGCAACATCTAGATTGTCAACGTTCAACGATATTCTGCATTCTGTTGCAATATAAACCTCTCGAACAATGGGTCAATTGAAGCAAGTTAAGACAGATTTAATCAGTTTCCTCAATACTGTGCATTTGTTTTCCCATGTTCTTTAGCTTAAATACTTCCCTTCAAAAACTTACAATATCAGTTTTTTCCTATTTTTATATAATACAAACGGACGGAGAAACTTCTCTTCATAAGTCAAACTTATTTGCTCTACATATCATTGAACTTTATTAAATCTAAAAATTTTTAATTTATATAATCTCTGGAAGATATATTTGTTCTATAACAAAATTTGAGGAAGATAATATTTCTACATGCCACAAATCTGGAAATTCCAGGTCCGAGAAAGTAAAAAGAATCCAAAATCTCGACTACATCTAGACCTTGTTCATCCTTGCTTCTAAATTTAGAATTTTGACCTGCTATGACTAAGCCATCAGATGACATGTAACTCCACTAATAGTAGTTCCACGAGTGGTGAAAGCTTACATTATATGGATATCATATAAATCTTGTACTTTCACAGGAACTATATCTTTTTACTTCCTTGTACAAATTAAATTATGTACTGCAACTGCAAAAAATTTCAGGTATCATATTTCAGCAGAAATATCCATTTTGACTGCTCCTGAATCCATTGAATGTTTTTGCATATACATACAGACAGGAAGAAAAGCATTTTTTTCCACAACAGATTATAAAATAGATTTAAAGAACATTCAAAAGGGATTTTTTCATGATGTCTGTATAGGAACCAGAAGTATGTACCTCACATAACTAATAAACGATTACCCGTAGAACATGGAAATTTTATATATGGGACTGCTACAACATCCAGTTGTGCATCTCTTTTTATTGCAATCAGCAGTACTAAACGTGTGTGTCCCTTTACCGGCATTTATTTTCGAAGTTGCTGGCTGTAGTCATATATTGCCAGTTATAGAAGTGCTTTAAAGGATGAAAATATTCATGTTTCAGCAATATCAAATTTAAAAAAATTAATTTGACAAAAAACAAAATCTAACTTTTAATGCAGTCTCCTGGTTCCTATACGTAAATTTGAGAAAGTTTTACATACATTATGTAAAAATAAAATTTTAAGAAGTTTGACTCCCATGACAAAAATTGAGTGGGATATTCAATTCCAAAATCTGCAATTTTTGATATCAACTTGCCTCAAGGGCTTGTTATTCAGGATAGAATAACTTGAGAAAATAAGTTAAAAAAAATACAGGAAAAAAAAAAAAAAAAATGTATAATTTAACAAGCTGTACAAAGAAATCATTTCTATTTAATTTCTGAAGTTACGGCCCTCTTTACAATCCTCTACAAAGAAATCATATGGTGTCCACCCAAGATTTTTTAAAACATGATTTAGTGTTAAGAGAATATCTTCTAACAAATTTTTGATTGTTAATACAACATTCCAGAATTTAATTATAAATGATATGTAGTAAACTTCCAAATAATTTTGTCATTTAAAATCACTGAATTAAATAGATCTTACATGGCTTAAAAATAAGCAGATGTTTAATGTGCCAATGTAAAATCTGAAACTAGACAAATACAGATCTGAAGTAAAAAAAATTTTGCTTCTGAAGAAGATAGATTTCTCTTGAAATCGAGACTTTTATTCAAAGTTTGACATCTTCAGTCTGTTTTTTCACTTAATTTTAAATAAACATACAGACCACTCCCATGATTAAGTGATTACAAAACATATATTTATTCAAATGTTTAAGAAATGATACTAACCTGCTTTTCCCTTTTTCTTGTTCTTGGAGGCCATCAACAGTTTGATGGAAATCAAAAACTATAAGAAAAGGAAATTTTTTTATATGTTATAACAAATTAATTGATTCAGCTACAACTTTTATCTTTTTGAATTACCTAAGTGAGCCCTATCTGATATAAAAACTCTGCCACAACAGTCAGCCAGTCCTTTTTCCTCATTCTTTTTCACTTCCTCAAAAAACTGAGGCAAATTAATTACAACACCATTTCCTAGAAGAGAAAGAAAACACGTAGTTAAAATTTTTTAAAAAGTAAATTTTTTTTTCTTAACAGATGTCTTTACTAAATTCATTAAAGCAATAAATTTAGATAGCAGCTTTTACTCTTTACAAATAACCAAAATAAGCATTTCACAAGACAAAAAATTTCATAAAATGCAGCAGTTGCTTGTGACACTTTATTTAAGTTTTACAAACTATTAATTTTTATCTGGATTCTTGCCTTTAGGATTCAATTCATCATGTATTCACTCACTTCAAAGATATATGCAGATTTCCAGGTAAAAAAAAAAAATCAAGATAAGAATTGTAAATAGCAAGCCCATTAGCACAGACTTGTTTTTTGCATCCAAGGATGCCCATTTATTGAAAGGAAGCCACTGATCCGGGTATGATTATCAACACCAATATTTGGCACAGTTGGTAAGAACTGATCACTTGTTGAGCTTTGATTGTCTGACTCAGTTGGTGTTGTAGAATCACTAATGTTGCAGCTAGTTAATTTACTGTAAAGTTCCAGCCAGAAGCTATTGCCAAGACATAGCACTTGTGTACATTGTATTCTCAGGAAAGTTCTGTGGATTTTTGATAATAAATACAAATGAAAGAGTACAAAAACACAAGAAAATTTCATTGAATACAACAAATATGATTTTGTTCTATTGCCTTTTGTCATCTCTCTAGCAGGTCAAAAATTCCTTTTCGAAAAAAAAAAAAAAAAAATTAGTTTTATCCATAAAGAATTAATTGAGGTGCTGTCTGACAGCCTTCAAAGAAGTGACCTTCAGGCTGTTAAGAAAATTTTGAAGTATGATTTACATTCAAGTTACTTTAAAACACAATTTTCGGAATTAAACTTCCTACATACAGGTTCACTCTTTTTTGCTACATTCTACTAAATTTACGTTAGAATATAATTAATATTTCTTTAATAAATAAATAAGAGAGTCGGAGTCTTTAAAATTCCAGCAGTTGGAGTCAGTCATTTTCCCTACCGACTCTACAGCTCTGGTTATAAAAATTTATAAAATATTATATTCTTTGCACTTAAACCATAAAATTCAGTTCAATAGCAATATCACAACATATTTAAAAAGAGCATTTATTTAGAATTTCTGACACACAGTCTTGTCGCACTGGAGATAATCCATATAATGTTGCCATTGCTTGCTTTGAAATCAGAGTTTGTTAATTAAAAATTCATTAAAGTTCTACAAAATATGAAATAGATAATAAAAATTGAAAATTTATGTCTTCCAAATGCCCACATTCAAGAGGAGGACTACGTTATTCAAATTTTGATGTCTGTAGGTACAGCTGTTTTTTTCACAATGCGAGAAACATACACTCATGTAGATTCTTCATTATTTAATTCTTTAAATATTAGGCAGGGCTCCAATATTTGGTGGCAACAATTTGAAAAGTAAAACACTGTTTTATAGTGGACGACGCAAAATGTCAAAATGAAATTAATAGCCCCTTTGGGCTTTGATAATAGTCTTTATTTCAAAGTAATGGATAAATTTTCCAGAAAAGTAATTTTGAATCATACTGCTGATTATTAAGCATGCAATTCAAATCACCAGAAAAATGAATAGTATAGGACACAATCCTGCTTCAGAATGTCTCAACTCTGTAAAAAGTTAACATAAATTTTGAAGGGAAATATGTCAAAAAAATTAACTTGCTGTGCCTCCCTCCAAAAAAATTGTCAAGCTTCTATTTCAACTGTATTTATTTTTTTCCCTTTAAAATTATGGATGATTCACTTAAATCACATACAGAATTTTAAATTACCATTGAATATTATAGAGAAAAAGGTAAAAATATATTTACGGGTAACCCTTGGCTAAAATTGGCAGTACTTAGATACCGAGTTTGTGTGTGCAATTGACTTGTTATTTTGGATTGTGTAGCAGCAATTTTTGTGCCAAAAATCACACCTACACAGAGCCAAAATAACAAGACAAAGAATTGCACAAACTCAGTATCCATGTACATATCGACATATTTTCACTTAAAAAACATCAGAGAATTGCACAAACTAAGCATTGCGCACTCTCTTGACTTTGTTCATGTACACATCGAACTATATTCACTTAAAAAGTCAAAGCAGCAGCCAACACAAAAAATATATAATCTCAATAAACTACATTTTAAATCAAACAATGAAATAACATAAAAAACAAAATTTATCTTTGCACTACACAAAGAAAATATCCACTTATTTACGAATTAATATGTCTTCAGTCAAACAAAATTCCTTAACAATATCCCAAAACTTCCTAAAATTATCTGAACTAGAATCTGTATATTGGCATCGCCATATAAATTCATAAAATAAGAATAAAAAATATCCTCCGTAGTGCCGTTTATTGCCAACGTTCGACCATACGCATTTCCTTCCTAAAAACAGGAAACTTAATAAAGGCTACTAAATAAACTTTCGTTTACACAACAGTCAAGTAATGCTCTTTTTCCCTTTTTTTCCAAATCATATTAATCTTACTACATTCAGCCATTTTACCGTCTAAACCACAAAACAAGCAATATACTTTCTAACCAACACACAAAAGCCCTTACGAATTTACTGCAATCATGAAACTGATTACATCATAATAGGGTTTCCATAACATTTAACAACTCAGGCTACCATAAATGAAACAACTGACAGCTTGAAATAATGTGCTTCCAAGTGTAGGTTTCTTTCCAAAAGAAGTTGCTAATAAATTGTCTTGCCCTGGTTTGGATTCAAAAGAATCCATTCACTAAACAATAAGGTTTCTTATTCATTGTAATTGTAAAAGTACAAAAGTTATTTTCCTTTTCCTCCTCGGAAAAGTTTAAAAATGAAGGAAACATTAAGTAAAACAATATCCAATGCTCCTTTTTATCTCCTGCCAAGCTATATAATACATAAATAAGTGAAGTATGTTTTTAGGGTGCTTACTACTATCCTGTCGATTGGCAAAGTAGTGCACTTATCACTAATTATGGATGATCATGTCCTTCAGAAATCCACAGTAATGACTTGCAAAATTTCCACCAATGGTTATCAGACAATATGCAAGTACCGTTTTTAGTCCAAACATTTGAGAGTGAGTTTTCAGCAATAAACACAAGTTAGAATTATTATCATATGTTTCAGCTATTTTTACAATGGCGTCCGAGTGTATATGGTGATGTTTTCATCCATTAATAGCACCTACATCAAATTTCCAAAAGAATTCTAGTTTCCCTATTTCAGCTTTCTGGATTTATATAATGATTAGATATGGGGTAAAACTGGTTTAACAGAAATGGTCATTTACTTGATAAGTCTATAACAATTTATAATGGGCAATCCGAAATTGCACATTACTTGAAACTATTGTTGCAAAAGTATAAACCAAAACGTATTGGTGCAGTTGAAGGAGCATTGTTTACTGAAACCTAAACTATCGGGGAATATAGGTGTAGATTAAAATGAATTTAGATTTGTTGCTAGTATAAAATAACATAGAAGAAAATTAAATTATGGTTTTCATTTAAAAGGATTTACTTTTATTATATTAAACACAACTTTCTTTTATTAAAAACTAATTAAATTACATGTTATTCACCACCCAATAAAATGTGATATTTGATTTTAAAAAATAAAGGGACAAACATTTGTTTATGTTGATATAATTTTAGCAAAACCAGTTTTTAAACATGTTCAATTATAACTATTATTATATTTCTAAAACTATTATCTAAAATTTCATATTGTAAGGACCTTATTTTATTCTAAACAATTATTTTTAGTTTGACTTCCCTTGCCCCCATAATTTCAGTTTCCTGCCAGAATGTAAATTTTAATGATGTAGTATGCAAAACCTAGGTGTGTTCAGAAGCAGTATTTAAATTGCGTTTCAAGAGTTCGTGAGGAGTAGTAGCAGAGTTAGTTCCGATTTTATGCTGCTTGTTTGAAATAGCCCTCTAGTTGGTGTTAGACATTCTCTTCAGATTATATTGATATCCTAGGCTCAACTGCGCTGTGTGCAGCTGATTTAGCAGATTAGATAAATAAAGAGCCAGTCATTTAGCCATCTTAATTTATTATGATTTTACATTTTTTATTTTCTGTTCGAGTTCTTAACCACAAGTGGTGGTGAATTATGAGCACCAAGTGAGTGCCTCTTGTTAAGTTAGTTCAAATAAAAAGGTTATTTAAAACATTCTTCTGTGGCATTTGTTCTTCAAAGACATGACGAGAGTTCGCTACACAGTCTTCTACGCAGGGTCTACTGTGAATGCTAATGCTACTAAAAAGACATAGAACTCTACAATATTGCAGACCTTTCCATTTATCTAAACAATAAATAAGATTTTGTTTATAAGTGATCAACTGGAATGATACTCTATTTAAAGTTCATTGCTATTTAAAACATGGAATTAGGAGGAGGTCATGAATTGGCCACATCAGGTTTATTTATTTATTTATTATTTTTTGTTTTAAATGAGGAATGCATGAAATTAGAATAATAAACTGAAACACAAACACTGCATAAACAAGACATGCAAAAATACCACTGATGTTTACATACTAAACTATATTTTGAGGAAAAACATACTAAGCTATATTTTGAGCAAAAACTTCATACTTTCTTATTTGTGTCTTCCCAAAAAATACTCAGTTAGGCAATAAAAATACAGGCATCTTATGATACCAGCTAATATCAAAATTCCAAACTTTTATCTCAGACACTGAATGAAAAAAATTTAGAAAACCTCTTTTTTCCTCATTTACTCAGAAAATCAATTAATGGACAATTATATTAAACTAATTCCAGTCACAGAAATATCCAAGGCATTTTATATAACCTGTTACATTAATGCAACAACTTAAACTAAGAACTGCTACACTTGGAAATAAAAAAGTTACTTGAATTGTATTTACATGGGTAACCAATGTTTTAATGGATCAATTGCAATTTTACATATTTGAAACCAATATTGATTAATATAATCAAGTTTTATACTATTAGAAGTTTTGATACAACTACTAGAAGTGATTAGAAAAAGTTTCTGCATTAAATTTACATCAACGACATAAAATAAAAAATAAATAAACAATAAAATTATAATAATTTACTTACCAATAACAGAAACACATTTTTTGTTTATAACACCACTAGGAAGGATATGAAGGTCATATTCTTTGCCATCCACTACCACAGTGTGACCAGCATTATTACCACCCTGTAATAAAAATTTAAAAAGTACTATTTATTTATATACTTTCAGTCTAAAATTTTGAGTCACTCAATATGAGACTTTCCACTGGAGTCACATGCAATCACATTTGGTTATAATGAGCATCAGTGAACCCAAAAAATATCCTTATTAAAATGATTTGCAATATAAGTGATCAGAAATCATTCTGGAAATGCTATAAAATTAAACCATCATGACTAGATCTATTACACTTGTCACTTACTTCTATGTTTACTTTGTGTTCCTTCATATTTTTAAAGTTAAAACAAAAATAAATGTGAAGAAATGTTCCAAGTTATCACCTTACATAAATATGAATTTTGAATGAAATAGAAATGCTTCTTCTATTTACTTCTCCATCTACTAAACTTTAATTCATACAAACTATCAAGTTTGAAATACTAAAAATATTAGCAATTTATAATAATAAAGAGATCCTATTCCTTAGCATTAATTTAAGGACTTTCTCAAAGTCTCTTCATCACATCTTATCATTTCATCATATTACAAATTCCAGATCTCAAATTATATCACCACATGAATATACAATTAATTAAAACTTTCAATAAATTTGGTTTGTTTATTTAATTATAACATGCTACGGGTATTCGCCTATGCAATGTCTTCAGGAAGGACTTTCTAACAGAAACTGGCTTGTATCCATGATACACATGTGGAAAACCACAAAAATGCCCATGCAGCTGGCTGTTTACTTGGAATTGAACTCAGGTCGAACTACCAATGTTCAGTGTTTTACTGCTCGCCAGCTGGTGGGCTCAAGAAATTAGGTACTCTGCTCATATTATTCACAGCTGAATATAATAAAGGTTATAAAGTACCTTTTCTTGTTTAAGCTAAGTAAATATTATTGTAATTAAAACACATAAACATTTGCACACTTAGAGAGAAAGTAACCAAAAAAAAAAAAATTACGTCAACAGACACAAAATCGAAAAAGTACTTTACAGTGGGCTATAAGATTTTAAGTCTACAAAACATTCTTGGGATCTGGGAATGACTGGAATTTTATCAAATTTCCCAATCCTTGCCCCAAATTGGATTCATTTTTGAAAATCTCCTCTCTGAATTATTACTTTTCTTATTCATAATAACTTTCAAAATTTCTCAAAAAAACTGTTTCCAAAATACAGAAGCAGTGATGTTTTATGTCATGTAATCACAGCTTCGAAGAGACAGAGGAAAAAAAACTGACTCTAAGGAGTTACTATAAGGAGTAGCCAAAAAATGAAAAATCCATTATTCTGAAATTATGAGTGGTCCAGTTACAATAAAAAAGTTTTATTACATGGAAAACTTTTTGGGGAATGGGGTATTCTACTTGTTCTAATTTTGCTTTCAAGAAATATAGTAACTTTTTTTTTTAACATTAAGAAACCTGGATAATCTTAAAATGTATTACTGTTTTGTTTCCAAATTTATCACCCCAGTGACCTACTCAGCAAAAAATTATTCCTCAAGGCAATTTTAGATCCATGACATAACTTTTTTTGTCTGACATTACTTAAACTACAACATTACACAAGAGATTCTAATTCCAGACAGCAAAAAACCAAACATATCTTTCTTTCCTTCTGGAAATCTGCCAAACTGGCATGAGTTTATCAGAATGCACATTGTGCACATGCAGTTTTACACTAACCCTGTTTTACTTTTTAATGGCAATTCCAAGAAAGATAAGGAAAGACAAATACAAAAAGACAGTTCTGAAATTACAAAACAAGCAGAATAAAAAAAATAAAGACACAGGCCATAATTTTTTTCTTTCATACTTACGGATCTAATTCTTAAGCTTAGCAAAATATTTTAGAAGAAAAATTTTTTAACCTAAAATAATATAATTTGCTACTTAGGAAGCAAGATTGGGAAGTTCCAAGCAATTTCATTTGCCACAATAGTTAGTTGTTATAAAATATATATGTTACCGTGAAAGACCGAAATTGGAGAATGTCGACTTTCACCGGAGAATGTCAACATTCACCAACTACGTCGGTGAAAGATCGAATATTGCATTACATTCTTGCACATTCAGACCCTCACCGGTATATGTCAACAATCACAGATATGATCTGGTGTAAGTCGAAAAGAGAGGTCATAAAGTTCCATAATAGTTTAAGTTGTTGCAATAAATAAGATTTGAATCACATAATTTAGTAAGTTTTTTATTACTGTTATTTTCTCATTTAGAACATACTGTATAATTAAGTAAGTTTTTAACTTCTATTATTTTCCTTTCTCATTTTGAATGTAATGTGTGTTTTAGGTTCTTATTTCAAGTCTCAAGTGCATTTATTCGCGACTGAATTACGGAGAAGAAAATATAATATTGTTATATGTTCAACATTCACCGGTGTAAGTCAGAATATAGAGCATTTGGAAAATATTTCGGACATACACCAAGCGACTATGTGAATGTTGACATTCACCAGTGAAAGTCGACATTTTCCAGATTTTGGTGTTTCACCGTAACATATACTCTTCATTTCTAGTTCTACAATTTCTTTTATTAAACTATACATTAAATCAGGTTTAAATGTTTCAATAAAGGATCTAATGGAATCATAGACTTTCTTAATAGAATGAAAATATTTTTATTTACAAATTAAAAAAAAAAAAAAAAAAAAAAAAGGAACTTATATGGGCACCACAAGACTTTCTTTAATGTCTATTCAATTACACATATTTTTTTTCTGCCATTATTTCATTTGAAAGTAAGGAAAGATCTTCCAACTGAAAATGTCTTTTTGGAACTGCCAATTGCAGTAAAAAATAGAGGTATACAGTCAAAAGTCGTTAATCCGGACTCGTCGGGACTTCGGCGATTCCGGATTATCGATTTTTCCGGATTATAGATCATCAGTTTAAATCTCGTAAGATGGCATGCAGAAATTCTAAAATTAAAAATATGAAACCGTAATTTATGAAATAAAGAACAATTATGATCTAAAGGGTATCAAAATTTGCAAAAAGAAAAAGCTTAATATTTATTTGTTTACTTTATTAAACATTTCTTTCAATGTAAGTTGTTTAAGTTTTGCTTCGTTTCATGTGATAATACTTTCTCTTTAATTCTATTAAACAGACATAATTTCTTGTTCAGTTACAAAGTTCCGCCGTTCAAGTCCTATAATTGCTGTGTCAAGAACACCGACTAATTTGTCAATCGAAATTTTTTTGTTTTCAATAACATCTGTCACTTTTCTTCGCTATTGGAAGCGAATTATAATGACGAGGAACTTGTTTTAAATCATATCAAAGACGGAGCATATCGAGATGAAATACTACATTTGGTAAGGAATTATAAGCCAAATAAAATAAAAACATCTGCGCTGAAGATAAGGATAGTGCTGACAAATCAACTTCCAATTCATTATGCGCCCGCCCCCGAGCAGCGTGAAATTGATAAACAGATTTCGGATTTCAAAACATACTTTCGCTTTAGATCCTTTACATATTAACAAATATATATCGGAAATTCTATTTGATATAATCGAAAGTTTAAGCTTACTTTTATAAAATTGCTCTTACAGTCTGCAAAAAATAATAAGCCGGATGCAATTCGAAAATTAAGGAACACAATCATCAACATTAACTGAAATAGATAATTATTTAGCTTATACGTCCATTATACATAAAATGCGCACGCGAAAACGTATTCTGCACTTGCGCACACTCATATGCGCAGTCGTAAAAGGTCTTACGCGCACGCGTGAACGCCTCTGCGCATGTGTCAACGCTGCGCATGCGCAGAAAGTTTTTAGTTTTGATGTCCGGATTATAGATCATTACGAATTATGGGTGTCCGAATTAACGACTTTTGACTGTACAACTAGATAATATAGCAATCTCGCATACAAAATTTCAATATCCTATGGCTAATATTTTTTTTAGTTACGTGACATACATATGTACATACAGACATCATGCTGAAAATATATATTGGGGAGCTGTTGAAAAAAAAAAAGAAATTTTCGCAATTACAATACACCCTCTACTTCGTACAAGGAAATAAGAATCTGATTTGGACAGAAAATGACCTTGCACTAATTCTATGATTAAAATAACAGCAACCTTTAAGAAAATATACTTCTAAAAATATAATACCTAAATTGGCAACCAGCAATTATTTGATATTTTAAGTTTTGCCAGAGCGTTTTAAAATTTTTGAATGGTAGCTCCTTACCAAAATTTTATACAAATTCTTCCTTTAAATAATATTCATTAAATGCACAATCAGGGGAAAAAAGAAGTGCAATGAAAGCACCTCTAGAAATAAGTAAAATTCTTCAAGTTTTATCAAGAAATTTCAATCAGATGGACACAATACATGTGAAACTTAAAGAGTCATATGAGTCAGATTTCTAGATGTTATTGATTGATATATAGGTGTTCATATTATTAATACTAATTACAAATGTTAACAAAAAATTGATGTTAATTGCATATTAAGATAAACAATTTAAAAAAAAACCTATTTGCCAATCACTTATAGTGATTCCATATTTTCCTATGAAAATCTGTTCGAGTTTAAAGTAAAACACTAATTCTGGTTTATCATATGTATTGAAAATCTAATCTGTAATTCTCAATCATATATCAATTTTAAACATCAAATTTAAGAAGTTCTATCTGGATGATAGCATGGTATATTTTTTCCTGAAAATCTGTTTGGAGCTCAAAAAAGTACCACTAATGTAAGTATAATACAAAGTCTTTAATCCGGACGTCCATAACATAGACCTCAAAGCTACAAACTTTCTACGCTTGTGTAAACGCATTATAAACGTTTAATGTATAATGGACGGTATAAGCTAGGCTAAAATTATCTATTTCAGTTAATGTTGCAGATTGCATTGTTCCTTAATCTTCTAATTGGATCCAGCTTATTATTTTTTGCAGACTGTTAGAGCAATTTTATAAAAAGTAAGCTTGAACTTTCGATTATGTCAAAAAGAGTTTCCGATTCT